AGCTAAGGAGGCAGAGAAAGCCTAAGCCCAAGCCGCAGCTTATGCAAATCCTAAACCTAGTGATCTAGGGCAAGCTAGCAAAGTTGCTTTGCGAATTCTACGTGAAACTCGCGCTGATGACGCGGATGTCTGATGCTGTTGCAATATCGTGATCCATCCGAGGATTGTGTGGGAATGGGGCGGCTCCCACAATACTTTTCCACCCGACAACAATAACCGGCCCTCCACCCCGGAATTCTCATAAAGTTTAATGCAAAATATTGCTATTCGAGTTGCACGTTTTTGGAAGCGGATAGACGATGTATTTTGTGAATGACAAGAATTGGCCGGGGAATATTGGGAACAAAGGTCGCTCGATGGTCGTCTGTGGATCATTCCCGAGATCATTTCCGAAAATGCAGGTTAGCAAGTAATCAGATTGTTTAAAGGGCCGAGCAAAGTTTCAGAAGTTTTGGACCGGCACGTTACGCGCACACCACGCCCAAGTCAAGGCGCGTAAGCAGCGATTATTTAGGAAATCCCCTTGCTTAGGTTTAGGTTTAGGCTTAGGCTTAGGCTTAGGCTTAGGCTTAGGCTTAGGCTTAGGCTTAGGCTTAGGCTTAGGCTTAGGCTTAGGGCTTAGGCTTAGGCTTAGGCTTAGGCTTAGGCTTAGGCTTAGGCTTAGGCTTAGGCTTAGGCTTAGGCTTAGGCTTAGGCTTAGGCTTAGGCTTAGGCTTAGGCTTAGGCTTAGGCTTAGGCTAACAGAGGTCGACCATGGAAATCAGCTATATCGATAGGCTTAGGCGCGGGCTAGAGGAGGTCGGCCATAGAAATCGGCCATATCGATAGGCTTAGGCTCAGGACGGCCTCCTAAAGGCTTGGCACCTAGCCCCCTCCCAAAATTTCCTCATCAGCTCCTTGTTTTCGTGGCCCACGGCCGTTTATCAGCAGTAATATCAGCAAGAAATTTGGTGGGATGGAGGGAGTAGTAAAACTGCCTAGTCGGGGCGCTTTTGGCTACCTGTAAATTCGATGCGGGGATGGCTGTAAAACCAAAGTCCGTCTAGCCTCCGTCGGTTTTTTGGGGGTTTTTGCAAAACTTTTTAGCACAGGCTACCAGCAACTTCCCGGTGCTACCAGATTACGGTAGGATCGGAAGACTAGCCAAAGCCGAAGCCCAGCCTAAGTCTAGCCTCAGCCTAGGCCTAGTAAACGCAACACTAGACATTTTCCCAGGCGCTAACCGGCGCGCTCCAGGCATGGAAACTGAAAGTAGCTGCTGCTCGGGTTCCCAGGGAAAAATTGACAATCATGGCCGGTGACAGATAGGCAGACAGACAGGCATACAGACAGGCAGACTGGCGGATGTGTGGACCTTTATTAGACTTGGGCTTAGGCGTAGGCTTGGCTTTGGCTTACGTTTAGGCCCGTCCTGACAAATTTACTCACTTATACACAAGCCACATGGATTCTGAGTTTATGGTGAACGCGATCGGACAGACAGATAGACGGGGAAAACACACAAACAGACAGACAAACCGTATCAGCCCGAGCATCGGCTGTCTCTCGGGCACAAAAAAGGCCAGCCGAGAGAGAGAGAGAGAGAGAGAGAGAGAGAGAGGAAGAGAGAGAACAGAGATGGGTGTAGGGCGTAGACACTTGCTAGAGTTGTGAGAGGCAGACACTCGGACAAATGTCACAATGGCACGTAGCGCGCCGCGGGAATCTTTGCTAGTCGTGGGAAGGTTGGGGTTGAGGTGCGATTTTTTGAAGAGGAGTGCTAACTGGCTTTCTTCTTGCCTGCTTCTATATTTCGAAAGGGAGCAATATAGATAGAGAAATGGAGAGAGAGTGAGCGAGAGTGAGCGAGAGAGAGAGAGAGAGACAGAGAGAGAGAGAGAACAAATAATTTCAAAGGAACTTTCCAGCAAGTAGAATTCCCGATGTGGCGAGGGAGCACTAACTTTTGAGAGAACTGCGAGATCGAGAGTCGATTTCGCCCTCCCGCCCGAAAAAAACTGGTTTAACGCCCCGATTGGGGTGGGGGGAACGGGGTGGAAAAAGTTGTGCAAGTAGATCAGCGAGATAAGGAGGAGAGGAAAGAAGAACGGAATTGTGGGATTATTTTGATGTTGGATACGGTAGGAAGCGCGCGCGTTAAGGGGGTGTAGCCTAAAGCCTAAGCCTGATCCGAAGCCTAAGCCTAAGCCTAAGTCGAAGCCCAAGTCTAAGCCTACGCCTAAGCCTGAGCCTAAGCCTAAGCCTAAGCCTAGGCCTAGGTCTAGCCCGAGGGCACGGTACTTAATTAGATAAAAAATGAAACGATATCGACAAGATATAAACCCTCCAAAAATGCAACCAAGCGCTCATATTTTTTCGGGGCGCCGATTCACAAAGTGGCAGAAAAGGGAAACGGCGGGCAGGGAGGAACTCTCGCTTTCTCGAGGTGAGAGAAAAATAGGAGAGAGAGAGAGAGAGAGAGAGAGAGAGAGAGATGTGGAGTGGGAAAAGACGCAGAGGGTCCAAAGATTCCTATCAAAATCGACTGGCAGGCGTTGGACCCCCGCTGGGGACGGCAGAAATTGAGAGAAAATGGACTTTGCAGATAGAATTCAGAGTCAGGCGGCGAATCGGTCGATAAGTACGGCATTCGCTAAAGAAAATGCTAGCAGAGATTTTTTTGGTAAGAGCGGGCTAGCAGAGATTCTGCAGGATTGGGCAGCCTAGCAAAGGTTTTTAGGAGAGGGAAGGCTAGCAGATATTCTTTTGGAAGAGGTTTGATAGAAAAGGCCGCCTTTAGAGTGCTGGCCGAATCTCAGGAATCGGGTGAGAAAATAAGGATCCCCCAAGGGCAACCTGGGGCAATAAATCGCCGAGGGCTGAGCAACAGCTGCCCAAGCGATGATCGGAGCGATGGGCATCCAATAGGACATGATACAAACTATGGAGAGGACAGCGTTTCAGTACTGTAGTCTTAGGGATGGCAGGCTAGCATAGATCCCCAGGGAAAACAGGTTGAAGCACGGGCAGTAACAGAAAGCAAACTAGCATAACTGCCGTCAAGGCAAGCGAGCAGAGACAATTTATGAGCGTTTTAAAGCCGAAAAAAGCTATCACAAACCGCTTCGGATAGCTTCAGGGCTCGGGTAAGTTAGCAGAGACCTACTGAGACCAAGCAAAGCCAATTTGAGAGTCACGAAAAGCCGAAAATCCGCAATACCAGGCCCGGACTTTAGACCCGCCGCCTGAAGCCCTACCAGTTTCGCCGAAATGCCGGATTGCGATGGGCGAAACTCTCCGGAATCGGGGGGCTTTGTAAGTTCCACGGCGCTCCTCTTTACCCCCCATTGCTGCACTGATCCCCCGCGTTTATTATCAGACGAACTGATAGTGAGGGTGGGGGGGGGGCTTCCAGAAGACCCGCGTCCCTCAAAAACAATTTTTGGCGCTGAAGCGCTCGCTCGGGTGCAGGGGTAGCCAGTCTAAAGAGAGCGGGCCTAGGTGCTCTCCTTGAGAAGAGTTGGGCTGAGGCTTAGGAGACTTAGGCTTAGGCTTACCCTTAGGCTTAGGCTTAGGCTTAGGCTTAGGGTTAGGCTTAGGCTTAGGCTTAAGCTTAGGCTTAGGCTTAGGCTTAGGCTTAGGCTAAGGCTTAGGCTTAGACTTGGGCTTAGCCTTAGGCTTAGGACTCCTTCCAAAGACGCTCTGCTAGCCTGCCCTCCCAAAAAACCTCTGCTACTCTGCCATTCTAAGGACCAAAATAGCCCCCAAACCGCGGTGATAAGCGGCAGAGAACCCGGGCTCCGCTATTTAGCAGACGGTCGGGCGACGAGAAAAAGAGTAGGCCAACCGGGCAAGGAGATAAACATTCCGAATGCCTCGTGCTCAAAAATGCCTCGAGGGCAGAAGCGGCCCGCGGCCGACTGTATATAAACGAAAGCCTCGCGAGCCTTGCTTGTTTTTAAAGGCGCCGGAAAAGCTGTGTCTATATAAACGGAATCCGGTCGCGCCGGAAAGCAACGAGGCGGGAGACAGGCCAGCAGCGATTCTTTAGGAAATCTATGGCCAACAGCTATTGGAATATCATTTCTTGAGGAGCCTGGCCAAATTTCGAGTCCAAAAGCCCGGTGAAAAACCTCAGAAAGACCAATGGTGGGGGGGGCTGGCCGCGAAATGGCATCCCGGGCGTCTCGACTTTCCAAAAAATGTTTACCTTGTCGCTCAGGCCGGGCCGTGGGCCCCTTTCTCTCCTTTTCTTCGTTTCTCTCGACCTGTCACTCTGCTTCTCTGGGTCTCTATTTTTCCCTGCTCTCTCGCCGGCGAACAATTTCACTCGAGCCGCCAGCCGAGGCCGATTTCGTTGGCAAAAGATTGGGCAAGTTCAGAAACCTGGAACTTCAAGGCAGGAAAAGGAGAGCGAGAGAGAGAGAAGGAGAGAGAGAAAGGCAGAGAGAGTGAGAGAGAGAGAGGGCATCACCCCAGCACAAAAATTTGGGTTTCGCCGGGGCCGTAGGCGTGGGATTGATGTCTTTTATTCGTGGTGCAATGCCCTCTCTCTTTCTCTCTCTCACTCTCTCGCTTGCCTACACTCTACCTCTTTGCGATCACCGCCCAGCCCTGTCAGCAACCCATTTATTATGCGACCGCCCATCACAGCCCTACGGAAGGCACCATTTGAACACCTTCTCTTTAAAGGGACATGGAAGCGACAAAACTCCTCGATAATATCTGCCAGATTGCCTGGCTTTACGTCATAAAAAGTTTCCTTGCAAGCTTGGCAAGCCGTTCAAGCCGGAGGTGTTCAAAAGGTTACGGTTACGGTTGCTACGGGGGTTAGCAGGCATTTTTTCATCTTCACCCTCTCTCTCTCTCTCTCTCTCTCTCTCTCTCTCTCTCTTTCTCTCTCCCGATAGTTCATTCATGTTATCCATTTCCGGCAATATACAGCAATAAATATATTTCAAAGCACGTATGGCACAATAATCACAACCCTATACAAATACCGTATACAAGGTTCTGCCCTATTCCAGGACCCCTTCAACCGTTGACAGGATATTCACGTAGTGGGCGGGCAGTTTGGCGAGCGGTTGGGCGGTCTGAAATTGGATTTGGACCTGAAAATTGAAATCAAGAGAGTGCCCTGCTCCTTTAAAGCGATCATGCTGACCCTGATCGAGTCGTTGAAGAGACGGGCGATGGCCAGCACCTCCAGCTCCAAACCGAATTGATGCGCAAAAGCTTGGAAGCCGGCAAGGAGGCTGGCTGGGCACAACTTCGAGCCTGAATTTTTGGTTGTCGGTTCCTTTAGGGGGAAATACCTGTTTGGAAACGCTGGGAAAGGCCGAGGCAGGTGCTGAACAAGACCAACGCCGTGTGTGTCGGGATCTAGAAAAACAGCGGTTTAAAATTTAGAATCCGGTCTGTTCGAGCAGTTCAGTTCTGTATGAAAATTTCCGAACCTTGATCCCCTGAAACTTGGTAAGCGCGGGCCGCACGTGTGCGTTCCCGCGCAGCAAGTCACATAGCAGCTCGAGCGCGGCTTCCGGAAAGGCTTCTGGGGTCGAGAGGGCGGAGCTGAAAAGAAGTGAGCATCTGTAAGGTTCTCCTTAAAGTCGAGGAGTCTGGGCCTGGGCACACCGACCGATTTGCCGACTCGAGAGCGGCTGCCAGAGCTGGCGTTCGGAGTGTGGCACCCTCACGCCGCGACTGCCCGAGGAGGGTACGCAAGAGTACGCATTGACCCACCTGTAAAAGAATGATGAAAGAGAGAGAGAGGGAGTGATAGCGAGAGAGAGAGAGAGAGAGCGAGAGAGTTATAGAGAACAGACCGACCTTTGCCAAGTCGGCGTGCATACCGGTCTGAGCGGCAGTAGCCTTTTGCAAGACATCAAAAATCTTTGACTTGAAGAACGTCTCGTCGAGGGCAAAGGTTGGTAAGTTGGAGAGGATACTCTAAAAGGTTGAATGTTTCAAACACTCCCTTTCTTAAAGAATATCTGCTAGCCTCTCCTTCGGAAAGAATCTCTTACCGAAATATCCTTTACAGAATTCCGGATCGACCTTTCCTGGATCGAGCATAGGAGACGATCGATGCAATCGATGGCCACTGATGGTACCCAGGCCTGAAAAAAAGACAGAGAATTAGAGAGAGCGGGAGAGAGAGAGAGAGTGAGAGAGACCACCTCAAGCCCATTTGCCTCATTGCTCGTCAACATCTCCCGATTTGACTTCAGCTCTCGCCAGCTCATCTCGGCCTCACAGTAGCGTGTCGTACTGAAATCGGGTTTTGAATTTGGAAGCGCTGGCAGAATCTTGAGGAAATGAGGCTGGCAGAGATCCTTTGACAAGTATACTGACCTGGGCGACGATGCGTTGAGCAGCATCTGGGTGGTGATGCCGAGTGCCGTGGTGGGGTTCAACGTCGTTGATCGGCCGTTCTTGCCCTGGAGTGGGGAAAAGTATGATTAGCAGGTGTCACTCTACCTTTAGCGATTCTTGAGCTATTAGGGAGGTCATCTCCTCCTCGGCCATCCGTTGTAGACAACCGGTTAACTGGAAAGTATCACTGATTTGATAGATAGAGAGAGGGAGCGAGAGAGAGAGAGAGGACCAGAAACACCCAATCCACCTCATTCCTCCACATCTCATGCCCAGCCACATCGATATGCTCGCACAGGTAGAGGAACGACGTGTGCAAGCTATGCAGCGCTTTCGTGAGGTAGGACAGGCAACTCCGCAATCCGCTCTCCTTCACAACCATCACTTCCGGGAGTCGTGCTCGTAGCTCAGCTCGGATCCCCTCGGTCAGCAATTCGCGAGGGCGCACCTCCAGTGTGCCGACTGTAGAAGAAAGTTTCCGCATAAATTCCTGCTAGCCTACCCCTTGTCAGCGACATCCTCGAAATTCCGACGCTCATGTTCGAGATGGTCGACGTCGCCTCAGCCAGCTTGAAGTTGCTCTCGAAGTCGGCCATTTCTTTAGCCTAAGATCGAGGTTTGCTTTCTCTCTCTCTCTCTCTCTCTCACCTCTTCCTTCAAAATCTGTGCTGGCCACTCAGTCTCCAGTAGTGCTGCAACGTTATCCCGAAGCAGAACAAAGAGATGTCGTGGCACCGATTGGACGATTTTCCTAAAATAGCGTCATCTAGACTTCGGCTTAAGCTTCGGCTTAGGTTTCGGCGTAGGCTTGGCTTAGGCTGAGGCTTCACCATTGCCTTAGGCTTAAGTTTAGGCTTTGGCTTAGCCTTGTGCTTATGGATAGACACCGGCTTAGGCTAATTTCACCCACCGCAACCTTTTCTCGAGCTGCGCAGAATACGCGTCAGCGATCATCTTCCGACGCTCTTCCGTGTGCAAGTCGTTTGACAAGTTCGTCACCGCTAGCGACAGCTGAAAAAAGTATTGTCCACACTAATCTCTGCTAGCCTGCCATTGCCTCGTCTACCTTATGAAAAAGGGCGCGGACCGTGGCGCTGTTGCTCGACTCGACGAGCAGCTTCTCGACTTGCGGAGACCATGTGTCTAGAGTTCCGATTTTACACAAGACTGTGAGCACCTACCGACTATTGCCCACGCGTACGCAGAGCAGGCGGATGTCTCGGCCCGGCGCAGTTCACCCGGGCTGACTTGGTGCGCGGCGGCGAGCGCGTCGAGTTCAACTCCGATCTGGAATTTAGGTATGTTCCTCAGAACCTCTGCCAGCCTGCCCCTTCCCAAAGGATCTTTGCTAGCCTTTCACATCGCTTACCTTCTCCAAATACTGCGCCATGGCCAAATTCCCGCCCAGGTCCAGCATTTCGCCCACCTAAAAAAGGTTCGGATTAGGATTGGACGCAAAGTCGGTGGTCTTCTTAGCCTTAGCCTACGCTCAATATTCCTACCTGAACGATACGGCGTTTTACGTGCTTGGCCAGCTCGGCACCTTCGCCCGGCGTCTTCGGCTGGGCATCCGCCAGCGTCTTCTGGAGCACCAGTAACCAATCGTGGAGTTTGGCTGAAAGGGTCAAACATAAGTCTAAGAAGCCTAAGACTAGGATGAAGCCTAAGCCTATGCCTTAGAAAAGGCATAAGGCTACGCCTAAGCCAAGCCCAGGCCTAGGCGAAGCCTAAGCAGCCTATGCGTAAGTGTACCCACTTTTCTTCTCGACACGCAGTGAGGCAAAACCCTGGCTGAAGACGGCCGCTATTTCGCCCAACATCTCACAGGCCGAGGCTGTCAATCGACGGATCGACTCGTCCTTTTGGCCAAGGTATTCGTGGTAGGTCTATAGAGTGAGTTTATAAACCTAAGCCTTAGCGTAAGGGCCTCATTCTTGCTCTCTTCGCTCTCCCCATCTTTTGTCGCTTTTTCTCTCATCTACCCACCTTGAAAAACTCAATCTCGAAGTTGGCAATCCTCAGTGTGGCGCGCAGCGCGCGCAGCTGGAATTGGGTGGCGGTCTGGACGGCGATCGCGTAGCTCAGCGCTTTCTTCCCGAGTCCCTTGTCGTCTGAATATATCACTATTTCTTCTAAAGAATTAATTTTGGCTGAAAAATTCGGGCACGCCAATCAAAAAGTAATAAAATTTCGAGAGGCTTCAACTACACCGGGGAGCCATTATTTTAGCGAGGGGGAGGCCAATTGAAATTTTACATTACCAAGTGGTAAGATTTAGTGGCTATAACAGTTATTTTGTTATTTTTGAGCACTAAAACTTGACCTTTTGTTGGTTTTTAATCGTTGTTGTCACATCTTTCAGCAAAATAGCAGAAAAAAAGTGCGTATTTTCTAGCTTTAAATATATCCACTACAAAAAACCCTCCCCCATCAAAGATAAGTACCCATTTCTGTTCTCTTTTTAAAAACTTGCCCGAATGGAGGACGAGCCAGCGCAGTTCGGCGTTGTACTGCGCAATCAGCCCGATGCACGGCTTCAGCTTCTCGGCCCCGATTTGGCCCTGGGGCAGCTCGACGGCCCGCAGGCTCTTCAGCTTGTTCCCCGCAACTTCTTTGGCCTAGAGAATGTGAATGTGGGCAAAAAAAAGAATGGAGACGAACCCTGATGACATCCATATTAGCGGCGAGGGCCGCCTGAGCCCCTTTATACGAGGCCCATTCGTCGAACAGGTTGACGACGGTCCCCATCCCCAAGGAGATCACCTAAATAATTGTCTAAATAAGCATATTTTTAAATCGTCGAAATATGTTTTTCTGGGATTTTTCGCCTTATGAAATTTGGATGTTATCGATTTCGTAATTATAATAGCAAATCAAATAATGGTCTTCTGCTGATTTCCCCCGGCCTCGCTTACCCATTGCTCCCGGAAATAGTTGTCGATCAATTTGCGCATCAGCTGCGCGTCGTTGAGGATGGACGGCGCAAAGAAGAGGCAACCGCAGAGCACCTAGAATGTATTTTTACATTGTTGAAATCCTGAGAGTTTTTCCCACCTGTGGTGCCCTCGTGCGCAACCGCCCTAACGAGTTTGAGCTTGTCTAAATTGTAGGTTCTGGAAAATTGCTGCGAAAAATCCGACCTGAAAGATCCCGGAATCGAAAACCCGAATCGCGTCCCGGACAAAATTCGCGTTCAATTTCACGCGCCTAAATAAAGGTAAGTCACTAATGTTAACGCCCTTACTTAAAGAGCGTGTCACCAGCAGCCGTGCGAGCCCGCAAAAGGTCGACGAGGAATTCGACGTTTGTCCGATCGTCGCTAAAATGGCTTTTTACTTTTGGCTTTTATCGGCAAACCTTATCCGATAAATTGACACAAATAAATATTCTGCCGTTTTCCCGGGAAAATGGCGATCGATGAGGAGAAGTAATTGTGCTAGGAGGGACAAGGTTTCGATCTGCAACGTAATTTATATTTGGTCATCACCCATAATTTTTGGAAGGATTGTCACTGTAGTTTTTCCTTATTAAATAATACCTCGAGCTCTCGGCCGAGATCCACTTCCCCGTGAAACCAGCCGTTAATTTCTTCACCCCCGCGCTGCTCGCAATATCTGTAACTTTGCTGACCAAAAGTCAGGACAATTGAATCCCGAATAAATAATATCCCCGGAACCCACTCTTGAAAGCCTCGAATAAAATTAGCGATTGCGTTGAAGAGTTGCTCGAAGCGGCCGAGTTGCTCCTCGTGCTCGTCGTAGAAGAGATCATCGAGCTCCTAAACACCTGAACCTTTACTTTCGCTCTTTTGCTGTTTCGACTTGCGACGAGCCTACCTTATTCCCTCTGAATCCCGCTTCAAAATGGTCGCTTTTCTCAAAGTAGGAAAAATCGGCCAACACCATGCGAAAACGAGATTTGGCCGGGTCGCGCAGGGCTGCTGGGATTTCGTCGGCAAGCCGCAGTATCTATAGATCAGTTTTAGGTTCGTGAGGCTCTATTCCGCTGATCACCTCGGCAATGATGGAATGCGCATCCTCAAAGAGAGTCCACAAAAACTCCTCGTAGACGCCCCGCCATGACCGGCCGTCGCTCATTGATCTGTCTGTTTCTTTACCATCATTTTCAGTTATGCACATTGCTCAGAAATTAATATAATTTTTCGTGTCAAAATAGCATAATGGCCGTAACAAGTCGAATGTCTGAAGTTTGATAGCGGCAGTTGCTCTCGATAAAACGTTTATTTCCCGTCGCAAAGCCGCCTGATGGCCAAACCGAGGGCACTGAAGGGGACGAAAATATGTGAAGGTATGTCACCGGCATGCCGGCCATCACAAATCAAGACCCAGGAGTAGCAGGCAAATCAAGGAAAGAGGAGAAATGACAATAACATAGCGACCGGCAAACAAGGCGAAAAGATTTAGCTGGGCACATCAAAAACACCGAAATCTGTACAAGCCGGGTGGAAAACAGAGGAGGGACCAGGGTAGGGGCAACATGACTAGGGGAGGGCGTTGCTCGCCAATTCGAGTAGTATAATCACACCGGCTCAATCAAGGTCCATGTAGTCGTCCATGGCGGCCGGCGGTGGAGGAGGGCGCCAAGTAGTCGAATCAACTTCCTAAACTTAAAAAAATGGTTGAAGGGCTAATGCGCACCTGACGACAAATTGGGCACGTCCGGTGGCGCTCAAACCAGGGCACCAGGCAGTCGCGGTGGAAGATGTGGTTGCAGTTCAGCTGAAGGACCGGTTCATCTAAAAGGTGTCACATGAACAAGGCGAGCGAGATTTGCTACTCAAATGTCGAATTTCGATGCGTACAATATAATTAGCTCCAAATTTCGCTTTGGTCAGCTTGTGGCTCGAAAAAATGAATTTACAAATTGGAAATTCGGATTTCGGCAATCGAATTTTCAACATTTTTTCATTTATCGCATTTTTTTCCAACAGAATGAAAATAAACCGCTTGCGCAGCTCTCACCTAATCGGAAGGTGTCCATGCAGGTCGTGCATTGCGTCTCGTTGTCGACTTGTGCCTGGGTAACCGTCGCCCTGGGGATCCGTTCAATTTCAGCGGCAGTTAGGCCTAAGTTAAAATGAACAGGTGATGCTCGGCAAAAGTACCTTCAGCCGGCGGCGGGCCGTCGAAGCCATTCAGCAACGTCGTGACGATGTGGTCGAGGTCGATGCCTTGTGCCAAGTCCATGTTACCAGCGAACATACTAGAGAAAACCGGGTATAAAATGGCTTTTGAAAATCGCATACCCCGATCCGCCAGCACCCGGCTGGGCCTGAATGTTGAGGTGCAGCGTGACGTTTTCCTGAAATTACAAGAGTTTCGGAACGAAAAGCCGCGTACTGAACTAGCGAACGTTATTACAGTCCAAAAAATGCCTAGGCTCATAGAAAGAAACACACCGCTCCACCGAGTCCACCAAGGATGTTCGCGAGCATATTTTCCGGAGGCTGACCGCCCGCAAAAATGACGCGTCGATTGCCGGGGATCTGGTAGGTGTGCTGATTCGGAGGGCGGTGGGCTTGAGGAATGTTCGCCTGCTGTTGCTAAAACAACTGGGTTCGAGGCAAAAAAAAAACACCTTTCGATCGCTACCCTGACAGCGACACGAATAAAGCAAAATTCAGACCTGCTGAGGCTGAGGCTGGGCAGGCTGTCGAGGAGCCGGTGGCTGCTGCGGCGGGTTTGCGGCGCGGCCAGTAACATGGCTGGTTATCTGGTTCATCACCTACAAAAAAGCATTAGAGCCTAATTTAATTTATGCCGCAGCCTTTTGTATTTCAACTGAGTCAGGAATTTTCACCAAAAAGGTAGAAAAAGAAACCTGTCCAATCAGTCCCATTAACGAGTTCTCTTGCGCCGGTGCAGCCGGCCCGGGTTGTGGTGGCGCTGTTGCATCGGGCGGTGCCGTTGACGAAGCATTGCCGGCAGGGGCCGGATGTTGTCGAACATGGAACGTAAATCCCGGTGAAGCAGACGCGCCGGGCGGGCGTGCTAAACAGCTTCGTTAGAAAAATTAGGCTAAAGTCTAGCTCAAATACCCCGACTATGATCTTACGAAATAAACACGTAAACGACGTACCGGTAGCCGCCTGGGGCGGTCCAGGAAAGATCATGTGGGAGTGGCCGTGAGCATGGGCATGAGCATGCGGCAAGTGAGCATGAGCATGAGCGTGACCATGGGGCGCTGCGTGCCGGACCACTTGGAAGTATGGGTTGTTCGTCAGCTCTTCGATGAATTCACCGCCGCAGTCGGCACATTTCAAGTCCTGGAAAAGGAGAGTTAGAAGGGGTCGGTTATTACGGAAATCACCAAATGCCGCAAGGAAAGATTAGTGCCGAAAACAGCGCTTTGAACTAATAACGAATGCTGTAACGGAAAAAAAGTGCCGCGCCTTAGCGTAAAATAAAGTTTGAGTCGAGCCAGCAGATAGTTTGACCAATCTCACAAATTTGTTGACAATCTAAATTAAGCTAATTAACCTCGCAACCCGTTCGATATTTGCTAATTGCCAGCACCGGCCAATACTACCCGTTTCAAAAGCCAACAAGAAAACTCACCGAGCCTTGTGATCGCACTTGCCGCTGGCATTGATGGCAATAGTAGGCCGGGTCGGCCATCGTGCGCGATCGATTGCACGCTGAAAGGAATTGATGAAGTTTGAAGGGCACTGAAGGCACGCAAATGGAAACCGGGGGCTTGGCAATATCAAAAACAAGATCGTGAGAGGCGGGGAACCGATATAACCTAAAGGCAATATATTTTCCAATAAAAAGGGCGTTTCTCGCTAATTTGCGATACCCTCTCGCACCCTCGCCGCGGTATGTTATTCGTTGCGACACGCCAGCAAAGTCCCCAGAGTCCGGCGCGCATAGTCGCGCTATGGAGCCCAAAAGCTACAGCCAAAAATGAAGCTCGGTGAAGCTTCACCAGGATAGTTTGCTATGCTAAAGTTGTCAAGTTGGGTTTTCAGTCGTCGGAATCAAGATTACCAAAAATATGAAAAACCGGGACTATAAATTTCGCGCAAAAACCTTCGCAAAACTAGACAGAGACGTAAAAAAGATGAGACGCAGAAGCAGCTTCGTTTGTTTCGAGCTTACTTCCGCAATTTCGTTCGAGAGTTGCGCAAATTCATAGTCCCCGAAACCATCACAAAACCAACGTTCACGAGAAACACGGCCGATTCATATCGAGTTTTGTGTGACATCAAGCATAGTGGCGCAAAGTTTATTCTCAACTCCGAAAGCAAAAAAAAAATAGAAAAAGCGCGTGGAGAAGGGGAAATACGAAATGACCGGGGGTTATAGGTATGAGGTGTGGGGTGTTTTGGGCGGCGACGACCGTCGAGTGTCAGTGGCAGTAGGCAAACGTCACGAATTACTTCGGCACGACGACCTTCAGTTCGGCATCCTGGCGCGCCACGTCCAACACCGACTAAACAACAAACGTTTGTAAATTTTAAATGCGTTACCTTCTTCGTCGAGGGGCCGATGCTAGCGCGGGCACATGCCTTGGCCAAGTCGTGCGTCCTGAAGATTGAAGAAAATGATACTTCTACTCTACCGGTAAGGGACAACTTCGTAGGCGGCCACAATCTCCTTGACGCGTCGCAGCGACAGGCAGGCGACGATCAGGCTGGCGAGGTTGATGGCGACGCCGATTGCGCCACTAAAGCCATGCAGCCCTCCGACCGCCTAGTGGATATTCGTTCGAGGTGAAGCATCGGCGGCCTACCTGAGCATGCTCCCTGGCACATTTCAACGCAGGATCCGCTTCCTCCTGTGAGACGACCTGGCCGGCGAGGCAGCAGAATGCGAGTAGGAGGCCGATACCTCTCATGTTGATCTAACGGTTTGAATAGTGGTGGAGTGATTGAATTGACATCCTTTTGGCTTTTATTTGAGAAAACACATGCAAAAAGATTCAGCATCCTGTATTCTTCCCCGAATTCGATTCTACCAGGCAAATCACATGAAATCATCTTGCGAGCGAGCGTCTCTTGTTCCCACCACCCATTTCTTCCTGTATCTGTACACTACACAGTCGTACGTCATAATATTTATTTCATATTCCATCCAAATCAACAACGAAAACAACAAGCAAGCCATCGAGGGCCGAAGATAGCAAAACTAATTTAACTAGGACTAAGAGTAAGCCGAATGGCAAATAAAAATGAGACCAGTACGAAGGATTGTGCAACGGCAGGCATCTAGTCGAATTTCCCTAGAAGATCGCCCTCCCGGAGGATCGTGAATTCCTTGTCGTCGATGATCACCTGAAAAGTTGAATATAAATGCGGGGAATAGATAACATAAAGCGAGGATCGCATCAAAACGGGCTTTTTCTAATCTTAGAAACTCGAGTAAAAGATCCAACCTTGCTGCCGCCATATTCGGGCAAGAGGACCCGGTCGCCGACCTTCACGTTCATTGGGATCGTCTCGCCGTTTTCCTTTCGTGCTCCAGGGCCGGCCGCCACTACCGTCGCCTCCAAAATCTTGGCCTTCGAATTCTCGGGCAACATAATCCCTCCCTTCGTTTTGACCTAAAAATCAAAATCTTCATCCGGCCGACAAATCACGCCATGCCAAAGGCAAAATAACGAACTTCAGCCGCCACCCTCTCGACGAGAACACGATCGAACAGCGGAGCGAAGCCCTTGAGCGCACCAGTGGCCTAACTATCAGTAAAGGATAAAAAAAAAAGTAAACTACCGCGCGTTGCACTGAGGTGAGGAGCATCTTCGAAGTGAGAACTAGGTGTTTACCTGAAAAATCAAAATGTAAGAAATTTTCGCAAAAATCAACAAGGAAGAAAAAAGGGATTCACAAAGAGATATTGGGCAACGCCGTTAATTTCAAAACCCTCATCAAAAAAAGGTGCTAAGGAGAAATGCAGGACGCCTCAACGTAAGCAAAATATAGCCATTTTTAGCCACATTTTCCACGCACAAGCTAATTTTTTTGCTAAATTACTGATGCTATGCCGATTGACATAACAACCTGTCCGTTAGAGTCTGTGGCTGCCGAGCCTTTCTAGAAGCCAGCCAAAGGGGTCAAAGGGCCCGGAGAATCGAGAGAGCCAATGATAGGAGAGGGGCGGGGCACCAAAAAGGCTAGAAATTTCTAGAGCCAGCCCTGTTCCGCTCCGGACAAAAAACGGCGGCGGGGTCAGTTTTCAAATTAGTCCTCAGTTTTTTTACATAAATTAATGATAGCCGATTGATCGATTATTTTGGATTCTTAGCTGCCTGGAATTTTTTTTTGAACTGCGAAACAATCGCAAAAGGGAAAGCGTTTCGAAAGAAAGAAAATTGCATCATGTTTGAAAAAAAGCGAAAAGACAAACAAATTATGCTCCAGAGCACCACTTTTTCCGCGAAGCTCCGTTCATTGCTCCGCTGCGGGACCTTTTAAATTTGTCTTCAACGGATCGCGATTTCACATTCTCGGTTTTTCCGCTTCGATCTTTTTCCACTTTTTTATCTCCCGTCTTTATGCTTTTTGTTTTTCGTTCAAAGAATTGACTGTAATAAATAATGATTAACCGTTTTTAGGTAACAAAATGCTGCGACTCGCTTCGTCCGCGTTTCGCCAGAGCGTCTTCCGCACCTACGCCAAGGACATACGCTTCGGCTCCGACAGCAGAAAGGCGATGCTCGTCGGCGTGGATCTGTTGGCCGACGCTGTCGGCGTGACGATGGGACCGAAAGGGCGCAACGTCGTCATCGAGCAATCTTGGGGCAGCCCGAAGATCACCAAGGACGGTGTCACCGTCGCCAAGGCCATCGATCTCGAGGACAAGTACCAGAATCTCGGTGCCAAGCTGATCCAGGTATATATTTTCGCTTTTTAGCCCGCGTACCCGAACATTTAGGACGTCGCCAACAAGGCCAACGAGGAAGCCGGTGATGGAACCACTTGCGCCACCGTTCTTGCCCGCGCTATCGCCAAGGAGAGCTTCGACAACATCAACAAGGGTGTAAACCCGGTGGAAATTCGCCGAGGGGTCATGACCGCTGTTGAGCTCGTCGTCGCCGAACTGAAGAAGATGAGCAAGCAGGTATAGGTTTTGGTGTTAGACACTTCTCGTTGATTAGGTGACCACACCCGAAGAAATTGCCCAAGTTGCCACGATCTCTGCCAACGGTGACCACGTCGTTGGAGAGCTCATCTCGACGGCCATGAAGAAGGTTGGCAACAAGGGCGTCATCACGGTCAAGGATGGGAAGACGTTGACGGACGAATTGGAGCTGATCGAGGGCATGAAGTTCGACCGAGGCTACATCTCACCTTACTTCATTAACACCGCCAAGGGAGCCAAGGTAGTTATGTTTTTTGCTTCTCTAACAGATTTTCAGGTTGAATACGAGAAGGCTTACCTGCTGCTCTCTGAAAAGAAGATCTCACAAGTCCAAGACATCGTGCCCGCCCTTGAACTCGCCAACAAGCACCGCCGTCCTATTGTCATAATCGCTGAAGACGTTGATGGAGAAGCCCTCACCACGCTTGTTTTGAACAGACTAAAGGTATCTTATTTTATTCCTTTGGCTTCACGTGACACTGTCAATGCTCTTGGTAACGAGGTTAATTTATTTTTCAGGTTGGCCTCAACGTCGTTGCCGTGAAGGCTCCAGGCTTTGGCGACAACCGCAAGAATACTCTTCGCGACATCGCTATCGCCACGGGCGGAACAGTCTTCGGGGATGATTCGAATTTGGTCAAGCTCGAGGAGATCCAGCTCAGCGACTTCGGAGAGGCAGAAGAAGTCTCGATCACCAAGGACGATACTCTCATCCTGCGCGGCAAGGGCAGCCAGGTCGACATCGACAAGCGCGTCGAGCAGATCGCCGACGAGATCGAGCAGAGCACATCCGAATACGAGAAGGAGAAGCTAAACGAGCGCCTCGCCAAGCTTTCGAAGGGAGTGGCGGTGCTGAAGGTAGGTAGCAGCTACTTGTTAAACAACTGTATCGTTGGCTTTAGATCGGAGGCTCTTCCGAGGTCGAGGTCGGCGAGAAGAAGGACCGCGTCACTGATGCCCTCTGCGCTACCCGAGCAGCCGTCGAAGAAGGAATCGTGCCCGGCGGTGGCGTCGCTTTGCTTCGCACCCTGAAGGCGTTGGATCAGTTCAAGGTAACGATGTTTGATTTGAAAGCTTACTTTTTATTTCAACTTGTTTTACAGTTTGCTTATCCTGTATTTTCAGGCGCCCAACGAGGACCAACAGCGCGGTGTCGATATCGTGAAGAAGGCCATCCGTCAACCCATCTCAACCATCGTCCGCAACGCCGGCATCGAGCCCTCGTCCATTGTCGAGAAGGTGCTGTCGAACGACCAGCTCGCGTATGGATACGACGCGCTCAACGACAAATTCGTCGATATGTTCAAGGCTGGCATCATTGATCCGACGAAGGTGCTAATTTTTTCCTTTTGCTCGTTTAGTGACATGGATTTTCATGATATAACTAATGCTGCGATTTAGGTGGTGCGAACGGCTCTTCAAGACGCGGCCGGCGTCGCCTCGCTGTTGGCCACCACTGAATGCGTCGTGACCGAGATCCCCAAGAAGGAAGCGCCAGCAGCCGCCGGTGGTATGGGAGGCATGGGCGGAATGGGCGGCGGCATGTTCTAAGCGCCAACCAGAAGCAGCCCCACACAGCACAAATCATCTCACTGCATTACGGTTACTGTTTTGATTATTTTTGTAGTTATAGATTCCCCCACTTGCCCTTTCACAATATAGTAGTTAGTGATTAGGTTATCGACACTTTTTTGTTACTTCGTTTGCTTGTTGCCGTTTTCCCCCTCGTTCCTTGTTCGTTTTTTTCCAATAAAGGATTGTAAATGAATTGCGAGCTGTGAACACTGGCGGACTCTCATCCATTTATGCAACAAACACTCGAATGCACTTTCATGAGATCTTTGGGAAGGACTACCGAGGGCCGCTTATACGTGTGTAATTGCAAAGTGATAGTAGTCCCATTGTGACGCTTGCATCGGGTCTCGGCCGTTGTAGAAAACGTAACGCCCTCTTGAGAAGAGCACGATTATCGGGTAGCGCATATATCTTAAAAGATTGGTTGTGAACTATTTGACCTACCCCATGCCGGATACGAGCCTAAGGTATTCGTTCCGGCTGTAGTAAATTGAGAGAGCACCGCTCTAAATTCGGGTTGCATTCCGAGGTTTGTCTCACTGGAATTCCACGCTGGGCTAGGAGATTTGCGGCTACTCCAAAATATGGTATAGCATGCGCGCAGCGAGAACATCCGGGGTTGTACATTATCAATAGGTAGGGCCGGTCGCCAGGGATCTAAGGATTTTAGACTACAAAACTGTTTCGCTGTAGCATAGAACCCTGATTTTATTTTAGATTGGGTATTAGGTACCTCGGAGACATATGTGACACTGCCCACTGCCGGATAGTATCGAAAGTAATACGGATAGCTGGGGTCTTCTGATAGGCTCACCCGGACCAGGAGCAGGATCAGGACTAGTCGTAGCATTGTTAGGTTCAGTTTCTGCAATTTCAAGATTGGTTGTGGCTCAAAAGGGTAGGATAACTTACCTTGAAGTGGAAGCTAGTTGGGCCTGCTCGTTGGGTATGGGGATTATGGTGAAGTGACACTGGCTAAAACCTGCCGCATTTCCTCGACCTTTATATCGGCCCATATTTCCCGACCTTGAGGTCCAAATGAAGACAAATGGCGGCGCCAATAATCCTGGGGCGTCTCCTCTTCCCGGAAGCAGGCGCGCCACCGCGGGGGTTTCTCCGGTTCTTCCAGGCGCCAGGATGAACTGTGTGTCGGTTGATCTCGTAAGTTAGTCTTTTTATCCGTATCCTTCCGCGCGTCTCATTTTCGAGGTCACTTTTTCCATCTCCAGGCTCGGGCACATATTTATCCCAGGACAAAAAAATTCACACGTAATATGCAAAAAAGAACGGCAGCACAGTGGGTAATGGTACTGGTGCTGTATAAGGAAGCCGAGGAATTGCGGTAAGGAAGACCGTTGTTTCATGTAAAGAGTTATAAAAGGACGAATGCAATAAATTATAATCAACAGCACGAGAACGGGAGAGGCTCAAATCACAGACATGTTATCAAACAAACGAGGAAATCTGCAAAAGGCCACTAGACGACTTCGTATTTTTCGGTTCCGAAATTCGTCTCCGTCGAGTAGGTGACCGGGGTCGAGCCGTCGAAGGTTTGTGCAGATTCAACCTAAAAACGGAACTAAGTGTGAAGAGGAGACTGTTGCGTACCAGCAATTTGCAGTAGAGACTTGGCGAGGCGAACGACACGTGCACCGGGAAGAACGAATCGGAATGCCCGTTCGGCACCGTGAACTCGAGGGTCCCTAAATTGCTCGGATAAAGAGGTGCTTTCGTATTATCGGGGGGCTTTATTTTGTCGTACTTTTTTACTATCACAAACGTAAAAATTTTATGAAATTCGATTCAAAAACCAAAAATTTCGTTTACATCAAATTTTCAGGTAAGGGATAGTTTTTACACTTGAAACAGCTAAACCTTACTAAAGTGACTAATAGGAGAATATTGCCCCCCCCCCCCGTTAACGCGAAAGCATCGATAAAGATGACTGACCGGTCGAGTTGCTCTCCTCGATGATCGGCAACGTCCAGACGAGCTGCGAGCGTGACTTCTGGTATTCATACGAGCCCTCGCACTCCGAGACGACTGGCGCGGTGGAGGCGCTGAAAAAATTTAGGGTGTTCTGCCGAAAAACCAAAAAACTCACGGCAACGGGACCGTGATGATGACGTTGTTCAACTGGAGATCCTCTCGCTGCAGCGTGTATTCGATGTTGACCGTGCAACCATCAGAAGACTCCTGGGGCCAGCAGTTCACTGCAAAAAAGATGTGACAGCGTGGGTTTCGAAAAGCGCACTCACATGCAAGCGGCAACTGGTCTTCCTCCTGAAGCGGCAGCCGCCATTTCAGCACTCCGACCTCGTTGTTGACGGGGAAGGGCTTAAAATTGCGTAAAATGAATTCTATCGTTTTTCATACCTTTTGCGCATTCTTCAATTTAATCATGGCGTTGGTCTGCCATTCCTTCTTGTCGAGATGGGGATGGACCTGGAAACAACAACATGATGACAACAGTTAGAGGATTGAATACCTGCAGTTGCGCTCCGGCCGGGGCTTCGTTGCGCATTTGCACAGAGACCGTGTTGAAGTCGGCGGCTGAGACGGACAGCGCCACGACACCCGTAATCTAGGAATAAAAAAATTGCAAAATGGTAAATGAGACTCACCTCCGCCTGTTGTAGACCCCCGTCCCGGCCGACGACGGCGACAATCTTCTCGTCGCACTTCACGTGCACTGGCTCGCGCTTCACATTGGAGACGGCCGGTTGGGCGGCCGAAGCGTGCTGGAAATGAAGACATTCAGGGATTGCATAGCGGAAATTCGATAAAAATAAACCGCGAATTTTGAAAATGTCGCGATTCCTAAAATAACACATGCCTGTGCACCACGCTGCTGCTGCACCGGGGCGACAGCCTGTCCTTGCGACTGCAACTCTTCGAGGAATTGCTCTTCGTTCCTCGTCTTGGCGCCGAGACGCATAGCCTAAAAGCGGACAGGTGAGCTCAAAGGGGGGTCTCTCACATTTCCGCCTCCCGCGCGGCTCGGGGCAGGCGTGGGCTTGGCAATCGGCTTCTCGTAGGTCTGCTGTGGCATTGAGGATGACGAGATGCCCGAGCCACCGAAGCCTGAAATATATAAATTTAGGTGGGACAAGCGGGCACCCAACTCGGGTTTAGCGGAGGTTGTGTCCTCAAACGCTGTTCTCCATCCCGAAAATTCCCAATACCGAAATCCTCTTTCTCCAAAAATTCTCAATTCCGTTAACTTATCCGGCTCAGATTAGAAGACCCTCGAAATTAATCCATTGTTTTCCAGCATTTTTTGACACTAGGAATTTGATAAAATCAGTTCCGATGCCTTGAATGATCTACAAGATTTTGGAGCTTGGGATAAAGAATTTTCGAGCTGGTAGTCTTTTCGAATAGAGAATTTCAGGATTGGGAATGTCCGGATAACGAATACAATTCGTTTAGTGGATGTCTAACTCCATGACAACGAACCAGTGGGCGCAGCACCAGCGCGAGCGCCGAGTCCACGGCTGAGCGCTTCCTTCTGTTGGCGCTTCAGCTCCTTGGCACGCTCCTTGGCCGCCTCCATCGCCGCCTTCTCCTGGGCCTGCTTGATCTGGAGGAACACGCGCTCTTCGTGCGAGTCCATTTCGGTGAATGTGCGAATTTGGGCCAGGTTCACGTTCTCCCTAAAATGTCTTTAAATAAGGACTCGGATTTTCACCTGTATCCCAGCGTCACAATCTCATCAAAGGCAAAGATGAGGTCAAAGTTGTGGTTGAGAATCTCCTTCTCGTCGTTGGCCCGGCAGTACTCGGGAATCTAAAGGTAAACCTGTTGTTCTCTAATCTCGACAACGAAGGAAAAAAGCCCATAGACAATTAGCTATATTTCCACAAGTAACAAAAACGCACCACTCGTGAGAAAAGTCGCAGCGTCTCCAGGTCTTCAAGAATATTCGACGCCTTGGTGGTGATCAACACCATGTAAATGCTGTCCATCGGGTGGAAGACGTAGCGCACGCTGTCGGTCTCCACGAACGTATGTTGGCGCACCGCTGAAAAATAAGAATGGAAACCGACACGCGTGCATATACCAGAGTCCTTCTCGCTTTGAATGAGCTTCGGGAAGGCATCGAGGAGACCTTCGAGCCGGGCACGCGTCATGTCGGTGACGAACTGGCGGGAGACCAGGTACTTGCCGCTCTTCGAGAACACGGCCGCCGCGATCAGCACCATCGTCGGCCCTGGAAAAGTGGTTTCGATCGAGAATCAGATTGAGAAGGAGGAAATAGGAGAAAACACGCGAGTCAATGTTGGTAACTTGCAGCTATACCTACAGATCAGCTGGCACCTTGAGCAAAGGCAGTTAGCAATGCCGCACATAGGTATAAAGAACTGCACCATGAAATAATTTTTTTATCTATAAAGTATGCTAGAATACCTTAGAGTATCAATTGCGCTGTATTGAGATTGGTCTATTATTAAAACAAAGTCAACCTAGCAAATTCTGCAGGGAGCCGTGCCGCAGTTAACTAGTTGCTAATTCCCTCTCGAAAAGAGCCTGTTAATTTGAAGGATTAATGTTTTGCAGCATCTCTTGGCTCCAGCACCCCATTAGATGGGGCTATGAGGCCACGTTTGCCCACCCTGGCGGCTCATGGTCACAGGACGCGCTTTAGCGACAACCGCCCATCTGCTGAAAGCGCCGGCAGAAACTTTGTTGAAAGCGTGTGGAATAGCAACCATTTTCTTCAATGCGCAATTAAGTTTACAGCATTTATCCGTGTCGCAAATTTTAGCAGAACAAGTAAATAAACCAGAAAAATTGACGCATCACAAAAGGAAGACCGGGGGGGGAGGCTTTTGGCGGGGCTAAAGTCCATCGGAGTCGCTGTCGACCAAGACTTGGCGAGCCTTTTTGCGCATCGGAGAATTGCTCGGTGAATTATCTGCAACAACCATCTCAAAAACCCGTTGTAAAACCAAACCTGCAGATTTCCGAATCATTTGCGTGACGTTTTCCTTCTCATCGCCCTCGGAGCCCGAGGAAACGAGACGACGCCTTTGGGGCAATGTCGAGACTTCTGAATCAATTGTTTAGGATCGTGCTGGGAAGAATGATACCTTGTACTGTAGACTCTTCCATGTCTTCTCCGCCCGAACCGTCAGATACGAGAATCCGCGGACGTCTGGGAGAGACATCTGAGTTAGAAGGATTATTATGAGATAAACCGCTTGTAAATTTACCTTTCACCGTCAATGCATGCGTTGGGTCATTTATATCTATGTCTGAATCGGAGTCAAGCGCCTGGACACGACGGCGTTTTTCATGGTCCTGCATGATAGGATCTTCCCGAGCGGGTGAAGGCTCTAGATAGAAATAGTAGTTGGGAAAGGTTCAAAAAGGAAGGAACACTGTCAAGATCGTTCAGACCTTTAGGGTTGATCAAAGACTGCGAGTAAAGCGCTACCTCGGGAAGAATTGGCCATTTCTTGCGCAAATTCGGGCTCTTCATCCGATCCAGACGCCGGCGATTTCACAGCGCGGCGCTTTCGCTTGGGAAGTGATTTTCTGGGCGCCGGGATCAGATCCTCCGGGTCCACAGCTTGTAGTCCCCGCTCTCCATCAGAATCTGGATCGAAGTCCAGGGTCTCCACGTGTTTCTGAGAAAATATATAGCTGTTGGAGTATCACTGACCTTTGCCTTCTTCTTGCCCTTGCCGCGTTTCTTTGGTGCACCATCTCCTTCTTCCCTAAAACCACGTGTAATTGTATCTAATCACCGAAAATACGCGATATCTGTGATGCCATGGTCGAAGGCGAGAATGTCTTGCTTGTTCTTCCAGAAAAGGCAGCGCGCAGCCGCCAAGTCGCCACCTTTCTCGTATCCCTCGAAGAACCTAAAAAGTTAAAGAAGTCCATCGAAATTTCGCACTTTTTCAAGAAGTAATTCCCAAATTTGTGCAGCTCGTAGAGGCGGCTGGATTTTCTTGATTCTTGTGGGAGGGCCGAGTAGGCTTGATCAATTTCATGTAACATGTTGAAGAGCGTGACCTAAAACCGCTCTAAAAATACCAAGCACCGAAACCTGATAAATCCGCGTCGGCTCCTTCAGGTCAAAGGCCGCGTTGAAGAGCATGGTGGTGATCGCCAGATTCACTTCTGTCGAGTTGCGCTGGAAATTCCGCATCAGCATGAAGTACCTAGAAATGGTGAGCAAATTAAACGCGCTTGATTGATCACCAACCATTGCAGCACATCGGGACGCAAAAATTGTTTCATGTACATCGTGTACTCAATCTCCACCTCCACTTCATCAAAGTCACTATAAAAAGATAAGCCTTGAAGCAAAGGGTAAAATTTACTCGTCCTCATCCTCGTCGTCGGAATTACCGTCATATTTCTCTTCCAAGCCCTCGTTCAGCTTCTCCTGCACTTCATCTTCGGCCTTTTCTAGCTTGGTGACGACCTAGAAAAGAACTTCTCGATCACGAAAAAGCGGACCTCTGTGAAATCCGTGAAGAAGATCTCCTTTAGATGTTGAGCCAAATCGTCGGATGACATGGCGGCCACACCAAATACGCCATCATCAGGGTAGAGCTAAAAAAAAAGGCATATGCCTTGAAATTTACCTTACCTCCCGTCCGGCTTTATTGAGCGATGCTGCCATTGCTAGATTTCCGTCGCGCAATGTTCGTTGAATGCGCAACATGAGGAAGAGCCTAAGCACATAACAATTTTAGGCCAAACTGCCTACTTCTGGTCATCATCGGCCACTTGTAGCCTATAATCGACCGGCGCCATGTCACTCGTGTCAATTGTCTCCTAAAACGGAACAGATCGTGCGATTTAAGCTGCATACCTCCGAAAACTCCTCGAGATTTCCGGTATGCTCTTTCCAGAGAGACTGGAGCTTTTCTTCGGGCAACTTGTCTAGCTTCTTCATGCGTCTCCGTTCCGCCTTCAGAAGAGAAGCTAAAAAAAATAATTTGTGACACTGGAAAAACCAACCGCTCTCTTCTTTGACAGTTTTCTTCTTGGCGCTCTTCTTCTTCCGTTGTTTTTTCATCACTTTCAGAGCGCCTTCCTTGCAAGACTTTTTGAAGATTTTCAGGTAGTAGTGGGTGGCGGTAATCAGTTCGCGCAGAAATCCCATCGACACGATGGCCGGCTGAAAAATTCGATGGTTGATTTAAAAAATATTAAACCTTGATTTGTTTGAAGAGGGAAATCGACAGGTCCCGATATTCTTCCACGCGGAGAATGTAGTCAAACGTTTCGTCGGCCCGTTCTTTTTCGACCAGAGTTCCTTCTTCTTTCAAAAAACGATGGCTGAAAGTTGGGTGTAATCTGGAAAAAGCCGAGCAGGCTTACTATAAAAGCAACTCCTTGTAGGCTCGCATTGCAAAGAGCGCCCTCTTCGCCAGGAACTTCGTCTTCGATTTATCGGCAAGCCCCATTTCCAGGTATTCCGCAAGTTTCACCTAAAAAAGCGTTCTCGAACAGCGATACCGATCACCTGTGTAAAATGGAAGACCTCCTTGCCGATGGAAGCGGTCACCTAACAAAAATTTAACATTTTTTTTCTGATAATGACATACATAGTCGGAGCCCAATTTCGCGTGACGAACAAAGGAAATGGAAAAGGCGATGAAGGTCCAATAGCTGAGGTCGCGGTCTATCTGTAGGTCTTCTTGCACGCTTGCGAGAACCAACGCCTAAAACATCTTTTTATGAAGTAGTAAACGGCGGACCTTTTCGCGACAATTCCTCGCCAAGTTGTTGTATGTTTTCTCAATGATCATCTTGATATTCTGATCCAAGATTTTCGCGAATTCGACGGTCATCACCAGTGAGGTGCTCGACGTATCTTCTTCAATACGTCTAAACAACAATCACCATCCCATCCGGCGAATCAACCTGTTCTTCGGCTGAATTTTCTTGTGTTTCCGTTGATCGTTGAAATCCAGTTCCTTGGCCGGGTCTTTCACGATTCTGAGAGGATAAGACTTTAAGAACTATCCAAAATGCCATACCTGGTGCAAATCATAGGTCGAGAAGCATCAATTGACGATTTGCCCTTGATGAAGTATGAGCCGCCAAACCTAAAGCTATATTATTCAACCCCGCCTCCAAACCGGGAATGTCGTGTAGTTGTGGCGCTTTGTTTCAACATAAGATTCCTATTTTCTTCTTCTTGGACCAACTAAAAATAAAGTTAGCTCAGCAAGGCCGGGATGGCTCACCCGCATCATCTCCGCCTCTGCCTTCTTACGTCCTTCCGAATTTCCAGCATTTTTGGCAGTATCGCACACGACTGCCGGGTCCTAGGGAGATCTTCGAAAGCGCAAAATTCACTCACGATTGTTCGGAAAAGCAATCCAAAGATTTCCAAGGCATGCAGATGAAATGCGTGATCTTTTGCGCTTTCCCCGATAAAAACGAAGACCTAAATAAAAGTGATTGAAAGGGTGGTCAAAAGAACCTTGAGGATTTCGGACTCCAAAAACGATGTGATGACGCTTTCACGTCGCCTCGCATACTCTGTGCGCTATAAATTTATAAAGTGGTCATATCTGCCGTCAGGCCTACATCGAGAGTCGAATTCTCAGGGAAATAGATGATGTTCTTGAGAAGGAGACAGATCAACCTCATCTCGTCGTTGTCCTCCTCGAGCCGTTCTTCCCAAAGCTAGAAACAAAGTACAGTGTAATCCATAAATTCTTACAGTTTCAAGGAAATGCTGCTCCAGGCGCAGCTTCAAAATTGAGAAGAATTCAGTGTCGCAGAAGGCCAGCTTGTTCTTGAACCAGAACGTTTGGAGTTTTTGGATTTTCTAAAAAAAAGGTTAGCTGGAAGCATGTTCAAACCTCCGCTTTATCCTTGATCTTATCAGCCTCTTGCTTCCTGAAGAACCCGTCGATCGGGATGCTCAGGTTGGCGATCAGGCTATAATCATGTATTCAATTTCACAATAGATAAGCTTACCGGATACATGGATTGAACAGTTTCTTGTTCAACGTTGAAGACTTGAGCATCGGAATCAAGTCTTTTCGGATTAAATTCCGCTCACAGCACATGCTGCGTACCGTCAAATCACTGTCATCGTTGCGCAAGAACCTCAGCAGGTCAATGACGGATTCTAAAGGAGACAAAATTATGCTATGAACCGCTGTGCCAGTTTACAACCATAAGCCCATACCGTGTACATCGGCCTCGGCCTCATATTCTCCATCGGCGCCGCCATAGCCCAACTGGTTGATGGTCGCCTGGACCAAGTAGTCGAGCCCCATCTCTGAAAGTGGCCTGTCGATGTCGTTCTTCTAGGAATTGTTGTTTTTATAAAACAAAAACTAAGCACTCCCATTTCTTTTGAGGTTTTTATTTGTGCATCAAGATTTCGCGGCGCCCCAGTTGGCGTCGATAGTATCGCGCGTAACCCGAAAAAAATAAACAACTTTCAACTGCGCTCGGTGAATGAAAAATTAAAATCTGTTTTCTTATATACTATTTTAATTTTCCGTTACTTTTCAATTAAGTTTAAATCCAATTTCAGCCCTTCGTATGAGCCGCAGCTCCGAGGTGGTCGACTTAATCGCCGGGACGCACGTGCCGCAGGTTTGCCGCTTCATTCTCCCCGAAAATCCCCATTATCAGCCCTTCGAACATGGCGACAAGAAGGATGATGGGAAATCGCTGGTGGAGAAGGCTGTCCAGAGCCTCTCGGCGAACCCGCTGTTCAGCGCCGGCGCTGGGCTCGCCGGAATAGGTAGTTTTTGGTGGCGTACCCGATTTGATTGTCTTCAGGTATGGCCGCAACACTACTGAAGCGATTTGCGGTCATTGGGGCGATGTTGTTGCGGAGGCGCTATGTCGTCTCCTTGCAGCTCAATAACGAGGATCCGTGCGTTTGATTGATTTTGCTATAAAATGTACTTAGGGCCTATTCCTGGCTGCTCGACTTCATCAACCGCCACAGTCACCGCTCTGCCCGCATGCTCTCCGGACACACTTCTCTACAGGTTATTTTTATTTCTGAAAAAAACCTGTGTTTTAGGTGGGAGAGAGTGGAAAGGCAGCCGTATCTATCGCTTCGCTTCCAGGGCACGGCAACCACTATTTTGCCTACAAATATCGTTGGATCCATGTAGGTGGCTGCGTTTTCCTCCACCGCTAAATGCTTTTTTAGTGTGAAAGAACGCGGGAAGAGCAAACTGTGCAGATCGACGGCCGGCGCACCCCGTTCGAGACTGTCACGCTGACGACGTTGGGCACTGAGCCCAAGTTTTTGCTACGAATGGTCGAGGATGCGGCGACAGAGGCGCTGGCTAAGGTAACAAATTGAGTGTTTTCCGCTTATCGGGTGGCGGTAGCCAACTGATTATTAGCCTAGTGCAACAGAGAACTATAAATTGCCCAAACATATTTTTGCTCATTCGGACCAATTTTTTATACATTTTATACATTTTAGCCCTGGAAACCACCACTGAGATCCACCGAAAATCGTATATCACGTTAAGCTGGTGTTTAGATGGATACTGGCTTGGTCGTCTACAAAGCGATAGGCGCGGAATGGCGGAGATCAGGAGCTCCGCGCCCGAAGAGAAAACTGGAGTCTGTCGTGCTGCAGCATGGTGCCGAGCATCGCATCGTGGACGACATCGAAGAATATGTTGGCTCGAGAAAATGGTGATTTTTTTGTGTTCGCTTTAGACTTTTAAATAATACGTTCAAGCGAGCTCTATTTTTTGTAGGTACGAGGAGCGCGGGATTCCGTATCGGCGTGGGTACCTCTTCTATGGGCCGCCTGGAACCGGGAAAAGCAGCTTCATCACATGCCTGGCTAGCCATCTCGGCTATTCGGTTTGCATCATGTCGCTTAGCGACCGCTTGTTAGATGATGACAGGTATGGATCGACGCCCTTCTGTAGAATCTGTCTGTTTAGATTGAATTACTTGCTGAACACGCCGCCCCGGAATTCGATCGTGATTCTCGAGGACATTGACGCGGCTACGACAAACCGACATGATAAGAAGAACGATGACCCGATGTATGCTGGGATGACAAGGTAAACCCTGGCATCATTTTGAAAGTAAAATTTTGTAGGGTGACAATGTCGGGCCTGTTGAATGCGATTGACGGGGTGGGATGTGCCGAGGAACGGCTACTATTCATGACGACAAATCACGTGGAAAGGTACTTATATAGAAATCATCTAGTAATTCCCTCTTCTCTTCAGACTCGATCCGGCACTGATTAGACCGGGGCGAGTGGATGTCAAAGAATACTTTGGGAATGCAGACCAAGAAATGATGGAAAAGGCAAGGCCGATTTAGCTGTAAACAACTTATTCTCGGCTTTAGATGTTTATCAATTTCTATGGAGCGTCGGCAACATCGCCAGATGCGGTTCGTTTTGGACTCGAGGCGTCTACGCTTGGAACCCCATTGTCCCCAGCTACTTTACAGGTACGCGTGTTTTGCCACTAATTTACAGTCACTTTAGGGGCATTTTCTGCTTTACAAGAAGGACCCGGACGCCGCGATCCAAAACGCGAAGGAGATGCTCAGAAATCTGACAATATAAAAGGTGAAAGATTAAAAGCGTTGCAATCTTCATTTCCGGGTACTAATATTGATTGAGCTGGGCCCTCTAGAAATGTTTTTGTGCTCTGATAGGGTTACCGTTGTCTTGGTCTCAGTCCTCTAATTTGTTAGCTTTTTTGTCTAGAAATCTTGGTGCTGTACTTTTTTTGCATGTGATTTGCCTAGTCTCACATTGTTGCAATTTTTGGAGTCATCGAAATTGTCATGAATAAACTATTGCAGGATTTATATGACGTGTTACACCGGTTTGCAATGGTTCTCAAGCGTTACCATCCTCACTTTTTACAAGGAGATGCGATGTCTAGAGAACAGAAATTTTTTCTAGGGTGGTGATGGCACGACCACCGCCCACACCATCGTTCGTCTGGACCGGCGTTGAGGGAGGTGTGACGGCACTGGCGACTGTGCAGTACCGAGGTAAGTTTTTCACTGTATAAAAAGTTCGTGTCTCTTTAAAAACATTTATTCGAAAGAGCAGTTGAGGAGGATTTCGTTGTAATGTTGGCTTTGATCACAAGGTCGTCGACGCGGGGAATTCGTCCTTTCTGGTCTTGTCGTGCACCTTAAACTTAGGCTGACTTGAAATTTGTTCTCTCAACCTTCTCAGGGGTCTGCGGTTTCTCAGCGTCAGTCTGCTTCTTTTCCTTGCCCGAGTTGTTCTCCTTCCCCTCCTGTTGCTCGCGCTTCTGTAATTCCATATAGAACAGCGCGAATGTAAGGACCTTCTCCTTGCCCGAATGATCCTTCGCCGCTTCAGTCTTGTCTTTGTCGTGCGCCTAGAAGAATTTCACTTCGCACCGAAAGCTTGCCTTCTCCTGACCCAAATTCTTTTTCTCTTTTCCGGAGTGATTTTCGGTCGTCTCGGGTTTTTCCGGTTTCTAGAAAAGAGCAGGGTAATTTTCCATATGGGGTGCGACCTTATCCTTGCCCGATGTCCTCTCATCCTTGGTCTGTTCGGTCTTTAGTGGCGACTGAAATAATTAGGCAACTTTTCCAAGCGAAACCAAGCTTGTTTTTACCTTCTCGACGCCCAGCTGCTTCTTGGCTTTTGCCGAAAGGTCGTCTTTCTTTTCAATTTTCTAAAAAACTGAAGGCGTCGGCCATGTATTGCTTACGGCTCCTTCCAAGCGCTTCTCCTTGCCCGAATTCCTTTCCTCTTTGGTCTGATCGGCGTTCTTGGTCTTTTCCTTGCCGGAACCATTCACGGTCGGATCCAAAGTTTCCATGCAGGACTTGAGCGTTCCCTCTTGTATGTTGAGGAACTTATTCGACCTAAATATAGTGTTTCTCTTGCTCTGCAGTGCTTTTTATTTAAGGTGGGGCCTTCGCCTCCAATCTTTTACACAATTTGGGTTATAAGCGCCCTACAGGTCACTTGGCGGAGAGATTTCATCGTCATCACCGGTCACTGTCGGGGGAGCGCCTGAAAATAATTTATTCTCTTGTCCCCAAGCTGTTTCTGCGCACCTCCCTCCTTCAGCAGCGCTGCTTTTCGTGCTTTGCGCGCAAGACGGCGAGCGCGCTTCGCCTCAAGCCGCTTCATAGCCTCAATCGCATCACCGGCCGGCCTGGGCTAAAAAATTGCAAGTCTACTGGGCCTGAAAACGTGTTTCCCCACCGCTTTGGCAATTGCCGGCCTGGCCGGATCAGCGGTTTGCTCGAAGTCTGTCTTCTCTTCTTGCTCCATGCTGTGTTTCCTCTTCGTCACCTTTTTCTAAAATGAAAATTCTCTTTTTTTTGTGGCGCTACTCCGTACCGCGCTGTTCCCCGACGTTGTCTTTTGAGCTGGAATCAGCTTGTCATCACAGGTTTTCAACTAAAATGATGCGTGATGCGTCAAGGCGTGAATAGGCCGTACCGCCGCCCCACTAGGGGTGCTCTTCGCCTTTTCCTCGGGGGTGCCTGCCGGGATGTGAGTCGGCCGCGGCGGCGTTTTCTATAAGAAAAACGTGACTGAATTCCGATTTTCCCTGAAAAAAAATTGGGGGGAAACTAACGGAAAAGACAAGAAGAATTGGCAAACTGGTATCTCGGTTGTGGGCGTAGCAGGGGACCCCGAATGGCCTACCTCAAACTGCGTATACTCCGACTTCTCGGTACGCCGGGCAGGAGCTTCTACAGTTTTCTTGGGGACGGGAGTCTTGCTCTCCTTGGGCTCTTTCTGAAATTCGAGTGTGCTTTTCATTCAAGCAGCACCACCTGACTGGGCTTTGGCAGCGCACGCTGCGTCTCCTTTCGGCTAATTTTCGATTTCCCAGCTGGCGGGGTCGTGGTGGGACCGCTGCCGCTTCTTTGCTTCCTTTCCTTCTTTTGATTCTGGTATTCATCCGCGTCTTTATTCATGTTGACCTGATTACCTGACCACCACCCCACATGTTCGCAACAAAATTTCGGAACCTAAATCGAAAATATCGATAAGTCTGAACTGTGAACGTACCCTGAAAATAGAGGCATCTTGGACTATAAGAAAAAATATGAAATGAGGCATATGGCGACTTGAACTCTTTTAGAGGATTATACTTATGGAAATATAGATAAACCTTGCTAATTTTTAAGCTAATTTTGTATTTGAATCCGTTTCAGGGCGACCGGCGTTGCTTGTCGGGTCGATGCGAGGGCGAGTAGACCTGTACGACGAGGAGACGAAGCTGTTGGTTGCGCGAATTTTCGGTATTTCATTCAATTTATATTTTGTATATCGTTTTTTTCAGAAGACCCGGAGCAACGTTCAATCGTGTGGGCTGGCGAATTTGGTGGCCGGATCCTGATACATGTCCGTTGTGCGGCTCTGCTGCGCTTCAACGAAGAGCAGACGGCATTCGAGGTGGGGTTTCTGGTCCGACAGTCGAGATGGTTTTCTCAGATTTTCAGCAAGACCGCACATTACGGGCACTGTGCTTCGACGTCGTCGGAAAATTGGCTCGCTATGCCAGACTTTGAGGTTTTATCTACTTGTCTACTATTTTTTGTTGTTGTAGGATTCAACGAGTCGCATAAAACTCTGGAGGAATCCGAAGGACGACGAATGTTCGCAAGGTGAAGATCTAAACAAAATATTTACTCTCCATTTTCCAGTACTATCCTCCACCGGCGCCGAAAACTGGATGCCAATCTGCATCCACCTCAGGGAGGAATTGAAGGCCGTATTCATTGGCTGGGACAGCGGCTGCATCGATCGGGTTGACGCGGAAACATCACAACAACTGGCCCGAATATCCCTCGGAGCCGAGCCGATATTTTCAATGGTGGCGACGTCGAGGCGGCTTTTCTGCTCGACGTCGGCGCCACCGATTCGTGTTTTGGACGTGGCGGAAGCCGGGCTGAAATCATGCGAACAACAAATTGATTACGCTGCAAGGTATCCAGTGTTTATCGTATTTCCCCGAATATGGGCTCTCCTCGATTACAATATCGCCTTAGAGCTGTTTGAAAAAGATACATATGGCCTAAAAAAAGACACCTAAAGCTGCCCGGGCGTATCAGACATGTTCCGGTAACCATTTTTACTTTTTCAGTGCCAATGGTTGTTCGTGCCTTTCGCTTTCCCCATCCGGCAAAACGGTGTACGCCTCTTTTTGGGATGGCACCGTTCGAGCCTACACGACCGGCAAGCATGGCATTCTCTTCAGCATCCAAGGTATTTTCTTATAGATTTTGACATTTAATACATCGACTTTAGCCTGCGCTTACGACACCGTCCACACGATATGCTCACCACGGGATCGCCAACTCTACACCGGGGATGCCGAGGGAATGGTGAAGATGTGGCGATTTTGATTGTGCGTTGGTTTCCGTTCTTTTTCAAATTGTAGTGTTTTTAGATCTAGCGAAAAAACCGAGCAGAGGGGCGAGTTCTCGACGACCCGGTACGGAAGACGATCTTCGGAGAGAAGCGGCCCGGACTGCCCCGCTTATAACGGTTACAACACACGCAACACGAGTAATATCCTTTTGTATGCCCGCTATTTGTGAAGATAAAACTTTTATGCGCTTTTTTGTTATTCAACTGCTCAACAAATGCCTGACATGGCGATGGCTATCTGGATTTTTGGGACAAGCTAGTAAAGAAGCCATTTTCAAGATGCCCGCTTTTGCGTAGCTTGACTCTGATCAACTAGGAATCCAAGCCCAAAAATCGATACATTACGACTAGCTGAAGTGAGGGAAGGGTCCCCCTATATTGAGGCTAGGGGCTACTCTGCATCCTCCTCGCCGGGCTCCATCTTTTCCCATGCCTTCTTCCCCAATTCGCTGACGCGAGATATTTTGTTGCATTCGCGTGCACCCCTTTTTGATGAAGCCAGAAAGCTTTCGTTGAAACTTATTAAAATTGGCAGTTAGAGAATTTTGCACGGCTTGCACCCATTTTGTGATGCATTAATTTTCAGAGATAAGATGCTAAACGTTTCTTTTTACCTATCAATTATTCTATGATACCTTAATTAGTATTTACGATGTATTTTTGATGCCTTAACGTTTTATGATTATACAAGGCTTTTACAATGTGAGCCGTACGACATTTTCTAATTACCATTAAAACTCGTGTTCTTGTAGAATTTACTAATTATATACTTTTCAGTCAGATGCCCATCTACAACATCTACTTGTTCAATCGAAAAGGGCTACTCCTCTACTATCGCGAATGGAAACGCGACCGGCAAAACGGGATGGATCGCTCCGAAGAGGGCAAACTATTCTTCGGCATGCTGCTCTCCCTAAAATCTTTTGCTGAGCGGATGTCGTCGCGCGAGGGCTATCAAACGATACGCTTCTTCAAGGTAATTATACAATTATTGGCACTTTATTTTTGCTTTAGACTTCCGCCTACAAATGCTCATACCTCGAATCGCCGACCGGCCTGATTTTTGCCCTGAACGCACACCCAGAAGCGCATGGAGGAAACGAGCTGCTGCAAGAAATTTACAAGCTCTACGTCGACACGGTGATCAAAAATCCGTTGGCAAACCCTGAAGACCCAATCGACAACGAGCTCTTCACAACTAGACTCGATGCCATAGTTACCAAGCACTCTGCCTTCGCATAAAACGCCATTTTTGCTGTCTGACTTTAATTTTTTCATTCCCTTGACTAGTTGCTCTGCCCCTATCGCCCCTTTTTTGTTCTTTATTTCGTTATGTCCCACTGTTCCCGATGAATTTTTCTGCTGATTGTACATAGCGTTCGATTTCATATTTTCTGTGATCGGTTTCGGGTTCTCTGCCTTATTCACTCTTTCTTAATATAAACATAATAAATGAATCTTACAGGTAATGTCGACCCCATCGAATGCGTCGCCGGATACTACTATACTCGGTAATGATTAGAGCTCAGCTTTCTTGCTTTGTGATGATCCGCTATCAACACGTTTTTTTAGATGAACACGAACATGAAAGCGCCCACACTGCCACAAGCGGGCATTCGTCAGAGACAGACGAGCGGCCTAAATCAGAGGATGTACCGGGTGTACAAAACGGAGAGGACGTGAAGCCGGAGTCACAAGACGGCGAAATCAAGCAGGAGACCGTACCGCTGACACCCGAAGAATCTGTCGGAAGCCCACAGTCGTCGAGCTCATCCACCACCCGGCCACCAAACGACGGGCGTCGGGAAAATGGCAACGACGAAAAGGCTGTCATCGCTGACACCTCCTCGCGAAGCAGTGATAATGATTCCGCAAAAATCACCGAGGGAATGGCGCGCGCAACATTGAACGACTCTGGAAAAGGAACGTCGCAGCCTGTCGGTTATACACCACCCCCCTCTGTCAGCGGTGGTAGCGGCTCTTCCGGAAATAGCCAGCCTCAGAAAATCATCAAACCCTATGAAACGGTCCAGTTCTGCAGGAGGCCCGGCTATGTTAATCCGGCAGTTGTCACTCCCGTTAAAGCCTACAGCAATCACTTTGAATTGAAGACTCCAGTTTCCATCGATTTTATGCTATACAACGTTGAAGTCAATATGCATGACGGCCGTCAGTGGAAGCAATTGATCAAACGCGAGGACGTCGCCCCAATTTTCTGGAAGATTGTCAAGCAGAACAGCGATGTCTTCCTGACGGAAACCGCTCAGATCAGTCGCCATCATATTTTCCCGACGAACTACATTTTCAATGACGTCAACCTTTTATATGTAAAAGGTTTGAAGCAGCTGCCAGGGGTCCGCGGTCACGCCTCTTACCTGTACACTGAATCTGCGGGCAGAAGAGACTTCCGATACGAAATGACCGTAAAGCTCACCGGACCGCAGAGAGCTAGCTTCGCGAAAAATGCGTCGCTCGAAGAAAGACAAAACGCGATGACGCTGCTCGACCTCGTCCTCTCGGCTCGCGTCCGTTGTCTGCTTCATCCAGCCTCTTGGCAGTTCACGACGTACAAGAACAATATCTACAAAATCCAGGCGATGGACTGGACAAACCAGCGTCCCGGCAACAAGTTTTCTGTGAGTTTTTCTGAATTGTATAAATTTCGGGTGGGTTTTCGGGCCGAAAATTTATTTGCGACGTTATGTAATACTTTCACAACGTTGTGATTTTCAGATCAACCTTGGCAACGGCATCTGCGCCTGGGCCGGTCTTCACGCGGCGCTGAAGCTCAACCTCATGCACCGGTCTCCCCTCGTCAATGTTGATTGTTGGTTTTTGACACACGGATAGGATTATCTGTTTTCCAGTGACCTACAAATTCTACTACAAGGCCGGGAACTCTCTTCTTCAGCAGTGCTTTGAGTACCTGGAAAGTGCGTTTATTTTTAACAAGTCCGCTGCGCTCATAACTTATGTGAATTTCTAGGAAATGAGATAATTTTGGTTTTCAGATACCCGTGGGCAGACGGAATTCTGCGAAAACGAGTTCAGGCACCGGATGATGAAACCGATGGCTATTCGGAAGCTGGTATCGCTCTTGAAGGGTTGGCTAACGTCTTGTTGTCTAATGTCGTTTTTCAGGCCTCGAGGTCATCTCGAATCTGCCGGATCGTGGACCCAGGCCATGCAAAGTGTTCAACATTGTACCCCAGGCTACCGCACGGAATTTCTTCTTTGAGTAATTGTTTGTGGCGCTGCCTCCTAAAGAATTTTCTAGGGATCACGAGGGTCGAGGGCGGACGTCAGTCGAGCAGTACTTCCGCGAAAAATACAACATCCGCCTCGAGTACCCAAATCTGCCCCTCGTTCAGACACATAAGACAAAGGTGCGCAATTTGATTCTTGGTGCCTTGATAACCATTTTGTGTTTCAGAACAAATTCACGATTGCCAATTTAGCAAACCTTCTTGCCGTTTGAGCTGTTGTTCCTGTCCGACGTCCCGGTCAAGTATAAGGGACAGCCGCGCGAGGAGCAGCTCGGCTACTTTGTTAGGGTAAGGATTTTTGGCCGCATCAGGGATTGAAAGGGGTGGGAGATCATTTTTTGAAAATCATGGTTCTGAAAATTACTTTTCGAAAATCAGGGTTTCAAAAAATTTTGATTTCTATGTCTTGCCCACGTAGCCTTTTTATAATCCTGCTACGCAATTTTTCAAAAGTCTGATTTGTGAAATTTTTAGTTTTGGAGTAACAATTTTGGAAATAGTGCTTTTGGGAAATATTTTTTGGAAAATCTATATGACAATCATTGAATTTTCAGAAAAAATCTTTTCTTTAAGGAGAGCGCCCTGCCCCCGGCCCAGCGAGCCAGCATGATCGAAGAGATGACCGGCGGTCATGATGATCAAGAACAGGCTGGTGGTCTGGTGTCCTGCGACGAGATCATGGACAATTGGGGAGTCGAGTTGAACACGCGGATGCGCGAGGTGCCCGGCAAAATGCTTCGCCAGCCGCAGCTGCAATTCGTACGTTTTACCTGGCCTTTACTTCTACTTATACTTTTACGTTTTTGGCGTTTTTGTACGCCTCCCCTCAGCAAATACTTTATTTCAGGGTGCAGGTGACGGTACGCCCGACGTGCCGGTGATGATTACCCCCGACGGCACGTGGGAGGTGACCGATAGGAGGGATGGATACCGGTGAGTTTCGACCAGACATTTCGTCCACCTTTTGGCTCAATTTTTATCTGTTCTGCAGTTTTTGGGTTGTTACAATAGTTAAGAAGTAAAATAAGTATGTCAAAACTTTCTTACACTTTTTGACCCTTTTCTTGCAGGATGGCCCTCTCGGCGCCGCGGATGACGGCCTGGATGGTGATCGCTGTCGACCCGCATACCCTCGGCAATCTCACCCTGGCCCCGTTCGAGTTCATGATGCGCACGTTGGACGTCTTCGGCATGACGGTCGTCTCCGAAACGACCCCCGTCCGTACATTCAACTGGGATTTCCAGAACGCGGACGAGGTATTCATCCAATTTGCAGCCCATTTTACCCTGCGTTCCAGCTGGATCGACGTGAGATGCTCGAGCGGGAGATGGCAGAGTTCATCGCCGAAGTCGAGTCGGGCACCGCTGATCTAAAGGCGGAGGAAAAACTCGATAAAACTGCCATCGTCTACCCATGTGCGCTCTTCATCTTCCCACGCAAGAGCCCGGATGCATACCGTACGTTTTCTTACGTTCGAAATCGCGGCGATTGAAGTTTGAAACGAATCTTCCAAAAATTTGTGCAATACTTCCTTGTCAATCTGATACATTGTTTAAAAGTTTTCGGTCCTCTTCAGCTTCACCCAACACTTAGAAGTTTTTCAGAATGCCCAAAATTACAAAAAAATGTATATTTTTAATTTCAAAGCACACGGTCTTTCCATCTTCGAATTAAGAATTACAATTTTTTTTCAGGATTGTCAAAAGTCATCACCGAAGTGCGCGCCGGCGTCTACCACCAGGGAATCTTGAAGAAGAACTACGACAGATTGTCGGGCTCGCTCGCCGGATGCACCTCCGCCCACAATATGTTCTTCAAGATAAACGCCAAGCTCGGCGGGACGCATTACCGCATCCCGCGCAACGGCACCTTCAAGCCGTTTGTTTTTGAGGATTTAGCATTAAATATCTTTTAGGTGGTGCAAGGTTGTGAATGAGGAGGAGCCGACGCTGTTCGTAGGAATCGATGTCACACATCCCCCGTCTGAAGACCAACGAAAGTTCCAGGCAAACCGCCGAGCTGCTCAGGGCGGAAACCGACGCCCCGAAGGGTCGCAGAATGGCGATGATGAGGTAGTTTGAAGATTTTTTGACATGTATAGATATTCTTTTAGACCAACAACCGTGGCAACTCGGTCGCTTCCATCGTGGCAAATATTGATATCGATGCTACACAGTTGGTTTAGATTTTTCTGTCTACAATGTTGTGTTTAGATACCGCATGAGCTACCGTATCCAAAAGGTCGAGCAGGAGCGCCTGGTGAACATGACCGACCAGATCGTGCAGCGTATCGCCGATTTTATCACGGTCCGGAAATGGCTCTCAAAGGCTTAATTTTCCTTTCTTTAGCATACGGGGAAAAAGCCGAAGCATATCGTCATCTACCGCGATGGCGTCTCGGAGACCGAGTTCAAGCACACCTTCTACGAGGAGCAGGTATGCTGATTTTTATATTTATTAAACGGAATCTATTTTACAAGGGTTGGGTGATAGGGTTTTGCGATGGCGAATTTGATGAGGTTTGATTTCCGAACAGGGGCCACTTAAAAAAATTCGAGCGATAACCTTATTGAGAAAGTTACTTAACGTTTTTTTTAAGCCGGGTCGAGTAATGCAACATGGCAATTTCGGTCGGCCGGCGCGGCCGACCGGCCGACGGCCCCCGCATATCGGCCGTTTCCGGGCCGCCGACTCTATGCAAATGACTTCCGGTCGGCCGATCGGCCGGCCGACTTTTGGTCGGCTCGGCCGCGGCCGCGTCGGCCGCCGACAATCACCTTGAGAAAAGTCACAGAAACGTGTCGCTGGCGCCTCTAGATTTTGAATAAATAAGGAATGGGTTTGGGCATTGGTTTTCACTATTCCCTAGGATGCCTGCCTACCAAATTTTATTAAAAATCTTTATTGATGTGGGGAAAGCGTGCTTTTATGTCAATCCTGAATTTTTGGAAGGTTCCAGGTTCAAATATAATTCAATTTTGTAGTTTCAAGTAACGCAAAAATTTAGTCAGGGTGGTGGAACTATGACGAGTGGGCCTTTAGCCCTGCAACTTTTTTAATTGAATATTTGCGGCGATGAAGCAATTAGTGATGATAAAGCAAAGCAACAGCGTCAAATCCGTTGTAATCACGTCTAACCCTTCCGTCCGTTCACCTCTAACCGTTTCAACCCCATTATTTAACTAATTTCCTCAGTCTAAACATTTTGGCCAAGTAAATCCCTTCATTAGCATCCAAAAATCTAATTTGGTTGCGGGTTTTCGGCCGTTTCCGGGCCGCGATTTGGCCGCGGCCGCGGCCGACCGGAAATGGCGGCCGGCCGATTTCGGCCGGCCGCATTCTAATTTTTTCGGCCGAAAAAGCCGATCGGCCGGCCGATTTGCCATGTCTGGAGTAATGGGCAAAATGGACTCCTGCAGAACAAATTATCTCCAAGCTGTAGTTGTTTTTGAAGGGGATTGTTTGAAAAATCTGTTTTGTTCAAAATTTCAAGCTTATCGAATGAGCTAAGTCGTGTCGGAACCCCGATCACCCTAAAAACGACTCCTTTTTAGAAAGCATACAATAACGCGCTGGCTCGTCTGAACATGGAAGGCCCCGACAAGCCGACGCTGACGTACATCGTCACATCTAAGCGCCACCACACCCGCTTCTTCCCGGCCCCAGGCGCGAAGGATTTGCTGCGCAGCGGGTGCGTTGCATCAAGAATCAAGCAATGTTCATTTTTTTAGCAACTTCCGCCCCGGCCTTTTGATCGAGGACGACGTTGTCAGTTCCGAGTATTTCGATTTCTACATTACCGCGCAAAATGGAGCCCTGGTAAGATTTACAAGATTAGCTTAAAATTATTACTTAGGGAACCTCGCGGCCCACCCACTACTACGTGCTGCACGACGACTGGAACCCGTCTTCCGGCTTTTGGCAGGTTTGAGTTTGAAGAATCTTCAAAATTGTTCACCTAGGGCGATGGTTCTATATTTCCTATCGATATTTTGGATTTTTTGACAAAATTATCACAGCGTTTTACGTTTATAAATAGCGAGGAAAATTTTCAATGCCATTTTCAGAACATCACGTTCGCCCTGTGCCACCTGTACTGCCGGACGAACAAGTCGGTCTCGTTGCCTGCTCCCGTCTACTACGCGCATTTGGCTGCCAAGCGGGCCGCCGACTGGGTTGCTGGTTATGAACAGTGCGTTTTTCGCGGTTACCTGCTAACGATTCTCCTTTTTCAGCAACTACTTTGCCGAGGACAAGGCGAAGGAACGGGGCGGCCAGGGCGAAGACGACACGTACACCTGGCTGAAGGAGAAGAACTCGACGCCCAAGGTCAAGGGAATGGTTTTCTGCTGAGGCGTGCAGAGCCCGAGCTGTTGCCAACCGCATTTCTGAGCCGAAATCTTGGCGATGATCTCCGTTTTTTTTAATTACAACCCGCAATCGCAACCACCCCCCATATTGCCAACACTTGCCGTTCGCGAAAACCTGTGAATTCGAAGTCGCCCACCTATTTATCCTAACACACCCAACCTCTCGCGGGCCTTGGGCCGACCCTTGCAGGAGGAATTTGACTTTCCGGTAGCCGCCTTCGACCCCTAACCGACCACACCGTGAGTGCAACTGGCATGAATAGGAAATTTCTTTTCCCATTATGCAAACAGCTCTCCAACGCCCCAGAATTTAGAAAAACCGGCCTTAACTTTGAAACATTATCGCGATTCGGCCATCAAAAAGGGAGGGTCGTCCCCCGGGTAACGAAGAATTGGGCGTTTGGACACGGGAAGGCCTCAACCGGGCCTCAAAAGTGGTGGCCGGACACACACACACACACACACACACAGAGATACACGCCAAAATTATATAAGGTAGGATGTTTACATCTTTTTGCCAAGCAATCCACCATGTACAAGGTTCCTTCCCCGAACCCGTTGTCCAATTTTTATGTTGTCAGATTCTATCTGTCTTGTGCCTATATACTTGTTCTCAGTACTCACTGCGCCTTTATGTACAAGTGAATAAACGTTGTCTGGAAAACATTCAGAACCAAATGCGGCTTAGCTTTCAGGCAGAGTATTATCATTTTCGCGTCGAAAATCGCGGCTCGATCTAATGATCTGTGGATGATGGTTGTTTCCTTGCGCGCAGTCCTTTTTGGATGTGAATAAAGCTTTTTGTTGACATTGGTTCTTTAAATTACCAGAAAAATATTATAGAAATGCAAAACGTTTTCGATCGGAGTATAAATTTTTGGCTTGTACCTTTATTCTTAGAACCCATTTGTTCTGATATCGTAGCGGAACAGTGCGTTTCTATTTTCATTTATCGAAAAAGTACATGGGCAAATTTTATCAAAAAAATTAGAAAGTAGGGTTTTTCGCTTAAAACTCACATTTTGGACATTTTTAGATGGTCCAAATCGTTTCCCACTTGAAATATAGTTAGATTTTTTCAATTTCACATTTAGAAAATGCTTAATACTAAAATGTTATGAATAACTGGTTATAAAAATAATCGCTTCCTGGAAATACCAAAGAATCGTTTTTTAGATGTCTAGAATTTGTGGCAATTCTTGAAGCCCCCTGGTTGCCCAACCATTGAAAAGCAAGTGCGGATGGTCTGTGGTCTGGCGAGCAGGCGTTTGTTGCCCAACACTAATATCGTTGCCCAACCCTTTTGACATGGCCGGGGATTAGCAGGGGAGGATAGATTTGTGAGTGAGGGGGATTGTTTGGCATATATCCGCTCACTTTCGGCACCACTTGTCACCCTGCTTGCGCAACCCGGACAGACAGACGAACACTCGACCCCTGGGCGAACAAACCGAGAATACGGGAATGATTTTTTTGAAAGTGAAAAGTGGATTTTTGAACGTTCTTAGGCCCTGGAGAAGCGAGTAACTTTCTCATAATACCGAATTTGAAAACACAGAAAAACTAGTATAGGCCTAAGCCGGAGCCTAAGCCTTACTTAAGTCTAAGCATAAGCCTGCCTTTTATTGTGAAAATTTTATATTATATCGACATTTTTCGGAGAAGTATTCCTAGTGCCTTGGCTTAGGTCCACGGCGGCTTGGTGCTTTGTAGTGAGGGGTTGTATCCGGTACATAAAATAGAGGGCCGGAGGGTGGCACATTTGTCTCACTACAAAACAATGCTGGGGGCCCGTAAAAGACACTGTATTACAGTCGGGGGCCCGTCGGTGACCGTTGGGCTGGGCAGAGAAAAGCTTAGGCGTACTTTAGGCTTGTCCTTAGGCTTATGCTTCTTAGGCTTAGACGTAGGCTTAGACTCAGGTCTGCTTCTTTATTAGGCTTAACGTCGGCTTAGGCTTTTTCATAGGTTCATCTTCTTTAGTAAGTAACAAACCTTTCTAGCCCTAACTGCCCCGAGGCCTCAAAACAACACTTCAAACACGGCGCGCTTCTCTCGAGTTTACGGCCCGAAGTTGCCGGAGGGCACAAGTTGGCCCCGGGAGCTGCCTGCCGGGTCGGGGCTTGATACCACCTATCACTTTTATGGCCATCAGCCGCAATATGGCGGCGCTTTTTAATATGCCCCCTGGGCATGTAGCTGTCGTGCCGACAGAGGGAAGCGGGACGAAAACATGTGTCCTGCTGCTATCAATCGGCTACCGCCGAAGCGTGCCGACACCATGGGAGTAGAAGATCTAAATGGAGCGTGCCAGCAGAGGAAATGGAGTTGCTTCCTAAAAATCTCTTCAAGCTTGCCTTTTCCTTAAGGATTTCGGCTAACATGAGCTTACTAAAAATTTCTGCCAGCTACTCAACCCTCACCATCCCCCCGCTTCGTGTGTGTCCCCGGATCGCGGCGCGATGAAAGCGGGGGTGTGCTTTTTGTCCGCTAGCTCGGCTAGACCCCCGGGTTTGTTCTACGGGTAATTAATTGAGGTGGTGTCGGGGCAGAGAAACAAAAAGAGAGAGAGAAAGAGAGAGAGCGACCGGCAAAAAGTGGCTTTAGTGAAAAAGCGTGGCGCGAACCGTATCCCCCAGCTTTCGCATGTGCATAGGTGTGAAGGGGGTCTTTGATGTGGGTCTAGCTCAGATTTGTGGCTTTTCAGATCACAGGTGAAGGAGGGCGGATTGTTTGGGTTTAGTTTCACAATCTCTCTCTCTCCCTCTCTCTCTCTCTCTCTCTCTGTCTCTCTTTCTCGTTCTCGCTTCCGCGTTCGCTGTCTTCATTTTTCGCTTTTTAAGCACTTTCGGGGGTTTTGGTTTTTTTTTTTTTTGGGCCCCCCTGGCTTTTTTTTTTTTTTTTTTTTGGGTGGGCTTGGACTTCTGCTAAGTATTAGTTAGGCAAGCCAGCAAAGCCCAAGCAAGAACTACCGGGCCCCTCAGTTTCTAAAAATCGAAATATTTTGCGCACCGGAGCCGGGGGAACACCCGGGCAGCACATAAGATGCTCATAAATTTCAGTGGCGGACTGGAGGAGGAGTCAAATAGTGGGGGACTTTGAGCACGAAAAAATTGGATAGAAAGGTGACCAGAGAGAGGTTGAGAAATAGAGAGAGCGTGAGAGAGAGAGAGAGAGAGCGAGAAAGAGAAAGCCGTTCTCCCTGCCCTCCGCGCCCCGCGCGCCCAATTATACACCCGTTTTTGTGGCTACGGTAACTCGTTCTCTCCTTCGCTCTCGAGCGGGCGGCCGGAGTCGTTCGGGAGGAGTATCATTTCGGAATTTCCACCCCCGGCCCAGGACACTTTGACCACTACGGTAACCGGTTTCGTGCCCCGGCAGTCAGTCCGGGTGAATGAATGACTACTACTGACTCTAGTCATTTTGCCCGCCTCGCAGACGAGACCCACCACCTAGCCGTCCGTTTCTGCTTTTAAAGGTACGGGAAAGTAATTTGGATGATTCTGCTAATTTATTGTGCGCCTTAGGGCATGGACTTTACCCAGGCTTTGCATTGCTTCGCTTGGCTTCGGCTTAGGCTTCAGCTTTCCTTAGTTTTTGCTTAGGCTTGGCTTGGCTTGGCTTTGCTTAGGCTTAGCTTTGGCTCTTTCCTATCTTTCGTTGGCGATGCTCTGACAAAAGGCAAGCTAGCAAAGATCCTTCAGGAAAACTATCGCAAATCCATCCCCTCTTCACCCAGTTGTAAATCCACCAGCTTCAGCTGTCAAAAAGCGATTCCCAGGCGGGGTCCAGGTCCCCGTGAGTGCACACGTGTTGTTGTGGGTTGAGTTACGACGTGTTCTTTCTGAATCCTGCCCCAATACCGTACCCCTCACACCCACCACCAATTAGTTTACAGCCCCCTCGCGGCGGCCCATTGGCCGAAGAAGCTGAATTGGGTCTTCGAATGGGTTTGCGGTAGTCTCCGGAGGCTAGGATAGCAGAGATACTTTAGGAAAGGACAGGCTGGCAGAGATTCTTTAGGAAATGGCAGGTTAGCGGAGGGTTTTGAGGTAATCTACGCAATTTTGGGTGACAGCAGAGAGTTTTGCGTAACGGGCAAGCTAGCAGCGATTCTTTATTGGACCTACGATTCGCTGCATTCAAAAATATGTCCCAATTACGCCTGCGCATTCGCCTGCCATGCCATGCCCCGCGGACACATTCCCGAGCCGGCGCCACCCCTTACGACACATAATTCATCCCGTAATTTCCGGACCGCAAAGTCGAGTCGTGAGAATCATCGATTTGTGCCGAAGCGTGGCGCGTAATTCCCATCGGCCCGTTTCAAAATTGTTATCAAGACAGATGACAGATGGATAGAGCGCGGCATTCCTTACCTCATTAGTGTGCGGAATCCGGCCAGAGGCCTCGAGGGCCTTTCGGTATTTTCGATATTTTGAAAATGACAATAGATGGAGCGTGAAAAAATCAATTACGCGACTTAAGTCTAGGTCGAAAAATACGACAGATAAATGTTAGTGCACAAGAACATTCGCTGAAAAAACGTGCAAAAAATTTCGCCCAGGCAACGCCCGATTTTCGGTATTTACGATTACCTTCAATATTTTGAAAATGAATTTTTTTGAGCTGGTCGAAAAATAGCTTACAGCTTAAATAGCTTCTGAAAACCGACAACCAGATTTAAGGGTATTTTTAAATTTTTACCATTCGGTCATGAAACCGGATGCGGCGGGGATTGTCGAAATTCGAAATGCGAAAATTTCAATATGTCGAAGTTGCAATATATCGGCATTTTTTGCATGGTATTTTGGGGGTTTTTTGTTGCGTGGGACTTGTTTCTGTAAATGTCGGCATTATTAAGGGTTGACATTATGGAATTTCGGTATGATGAATCATTACGAAATTCCGGTATTATGAAATTTCCACAGTGTGCATTTTAATCCAATTGTCGAAATTTTGAATGCGACAGGCGCCGGCGATAGATAAAGCACGGGCGCTACATGCGTTACATTAATGCGCCGCGCCGTGCAGTTGACCTGAGGTCACATCCGCCAGGTGCACTTCCGCTTATCGATAAGCTGGCCTCCGGATGATAAGCCTCTCCCGGAACACCTGCCCGAAATCAAGATCCACCAATTCAGTCTAGCCGAATTCCCGAAATCCTCCCACAGCCCCCCTACCGCGTTCAGCTCCATACTATTTTCTACTGTATTCAGACCCGATTCATTACTAATATTCCCTACCATTCCTATTAGCTACTAATGGCTAGCCAATCGCCCGATACCCCCGCCAATTCTAATCCTATTCCGGCAAGTTCCGGGTTTTTACACCATACGCAGCAGGTACGGTAATTTTGTAGCCTTTTGTTATGGGGGTCTTAGCCATTTCCTAAAGAATCCCTGCTAGCGTGCCTTTTCCTAAGTAGTTCTTGCTAGTATGTCCTTTCCTAAAGAATCTCTGCTAGGCTAGATTCCTCAAAAACCAAAAATTCTGGAGCTGGACCTGGGAAGGAGACCGGGCGCGGGAAGGAAAAGACGTGAACACGAGCAGAAACAGCAGAAAAATAGTATTGTCAGATTAGATTAGGCGTATGCTTAGGCTAGGCTTAGGCTTAGGCTTAGCAATAGCCATAGGCATAGACGAGGCTTGACTTCTGACAATAGGAAACCACTGGAAATCAATTTTCCAAGAAAATCTTTTGTCCCTTTCCGGCCCCTTTAAAACAGGCCTTACAGTAAAATTCAAAGATTTTTTATAAAAAAAATTGCCAACCACCGTACCGCCGGGGAATACGGTAGCCGGAGGGGTGGGTGGGCCCACTCAAGCTAAACCCCGCCCCCCACACCCACTCCCAGGCTCCAGCTACACAGCTTTTATGATCCGCCCGACAAATATTTTGGGTCACCAGACAAGGCAGTTGCTCTGACGATCATTTTTGCGTTGCTAAAGGGCCCCTATTCAATTCTATATATTCCGAAACACGCCTCTTTACACCTCCCGGGAGCCAAAACCCGCCTCTTTACAGGTTGGAAAACAAAAAGTCCAGACCCGGCAAGCTAACAGAGATCCTTGAAACACCGAGTAATCTTCTGAATTCGGAATAATGTCCTAAACAATCTCTGCTAGCTAGCCCTTTGTTTAATCTCTGCTAGCACGTATTTTCCTAAAGATTCTCTGCTAGCTTGCCCCCTCCTCAAGAATCCGTACTGGCCTACCATTTCCTTGAAACCTATGGTAGCCTGTTCCTTAGTATAGCCTCAAATAGCGTTATTTCACCCTTTTAAAACCCACCTGTCCGAAGGAGTACAAAAACGTGTCAGGGATCGATCAATGAAGCCCAGGATAACCTCCAGGTATCGTGAGCTAAAACTTTCTGAGAAAAGACGCTAGAACCCAAAAAGAAACTGTGGCCAGCCAAAAAAAATGCAGAAATAGTGAAGAATTTTTTTAGATGAACGGCTCCGCGTCGATGCCTTTCTGCTTTCCCTTCGGTCCAACGCCATTCGCACCTCTACCATTTCCGGGGTTGCTGGAGGCGGTCGCGGCGGGACCCGTGCCGGGTTTTGCACGGCTTCAGCCCATGGGAATGCCAGCACATCTGATCCCGATCTATATGCAGACGATTATGCGGAGTGTGAGTTGTTGATTTCACTCTGTTCTCTTACTTCTCTCTCTCTCTCTCTCTCTCTCTCTCTCTCTCTTCTCTCTCTCGCAATTTTGGTCTCTTGTTTTACATCTCTAGCGCATTCTCATTCGATGCACTTTGCTCGCGCTCTTACTGTCTGTTTCTCTCTCTCTCTCGCTCTCGCTCGTTCTCTCTCTTATCACTCTCCCTCCTTTCAGTTGCTCCCTCACAACCCGCAACTCCAAATGGGCATCCCAGGCATGCTGCAGAAAATTCCGAGCCTCGACGCCATGCAGACCCCAGTGAAAGGTACCGTATTCTCAGCTCTCGCAAGTTAAAGGGGCTGGGAAGTCTAATGTGTCAAAAAATTACAATGGTCCAACCCAATTTAAACCTTTTAAATATTATTAAATTGTATGTTTTCATTTGAACCTTACAGTTAAAAACGAGCCAGTCGCCGCCAACGAGTTGCCAAAGACGCCTCCTGGAGCTGCTCAAGAGGACCGGACCCCGGACGACGTCGTCACCATGTTCCCTCGCATCGTCACAGGCAGCGCGTCCGCTCGAAAAGGTAGGGTAGGGGTTTAGGATACCGCTGGATAGCTGAGATTTTTTGGGGGGAAATCATGGTTTGCGGGAAACCGTTGTTAACTGCCTTTCCGAAAATTTGCGTTGGTATGCGCTTTCCTAAAGGGTCTCTGCTCGCTGCGTTTTCCTAAAAAAAACATCTAAGCTTGCCTTTCCTAAAGAATCTCTGCTAGCCTACCTTCTATAAAAAATCTCGGCTTATCCTACAAGTTGTTCTAGTCTTTATTTGTTTTTGATGTTCCGATTACCCCAAAACAAGATAAGATAGCGCGATAAGATTGGCCTTTTGAACTTCCCAGTCCAATATGCCCTGAGGCCCCAGTTCGGCGTCATGAAACGGGGTTAATCGGCTAAAAATTGCAGCCACCTCTAAAGGGGTCTGGACAGCCTTGAAATTAGCCTAAAATCTCTATAATCACCGGATTTTCAGCATCGACCTCTCCGAGCTCGTCGAAAGCCGCCTCGCCACGGCAGAAGAACACCAAGACTGCTGCTTCACCGGTAAGTGACGGGGTCAGCTAGCAGAGATTCTTTGGGAAAGGGCAGGCTAGTAGAGGCTCTTTAGGAAAGGGCAGGCTAGCGGAGTTCATTTAGGAAAGGGCAAAAATAAATCAACCCCCTCCCAATTCCAGTCGGCCCACTGCCAATGTCGATTTTGCGGGAAGATCTTCACGCGCCACTGGCTGTTGCAGGGCCACATGCGGACACATAGTAAGTTTACTGTCCCTTGAAAGCTTAACGGACCCAAAAATATCTTTAAAAATGTTATATTTCAGCCGGAGAGAAGCCGTTCCAGTGCGCGCACTGCCCGAAATCGTTCGCCGACAAAAGTAACCTGCGGGCACATGAGCAGACACATTCTGGTGAGCACCTTGGGGGAATATCTAGCAGAGATCATTTGGGAAGTAGGGCAAACTAGCAGAGACACTTTAGGAAAGGGGCGGCTAGCAAAGATCTTTTGGGAAGCAGGGAACATTTGGGATGTCGGGTAGCACTAGCAGATATCATTTAGGAAATGGGGCAGGCTCGCAAGGATTATTTAGGAAGCAGGGTGGCTAGCAGAGGTGATTTAGGAATTCCTAAAGATTTTTTACAACGTTCTTTAGGCCTGAAACCCCATGAATGCACGCGCTGCGGGAAGCGCTTCGCCCTGAAGAGCTACCTGTCGAAGCACGAGGAGTCAGCCTGCCAGAAGATGGCCCGAATTTAAGCAATTTCTCTCCCTCACTCTCTGTCTCTCTCTCATTCTCTCTCTATCTCTCTAGCTCTCTCTCTCTAGCCCAAGAATTCTATTGTCCCTCTGTGAATATCCACTATTTCCCCCTGATGGCTGGTCCATATTTTGCGTACTTGTATGTTTCAGTCAGTTCCATTTCCGTATGCAAATTCACCCATTTTTTCACATTGAATTTCATGTGCCATATTGAGTGCCTTACCTTGCCGGACGCAAATATGCGCAAAGAAAAACACGGTATTTTTTCGACTTGGGTGCTCAGCCATATCAATTTAATAAAGTTTAAAGAATTGATGGAATTGAATACAAATAAAAATCGACTCCTAAAGACTCTCTTCCAGCCTGCCTCTTCCTAAAAAATCGCTGCTGGATTGGCTGCCTTGAAGTAACCGCTGCTAGCCTGCCCTTTCCTTAAGAATCCGGCTTTTCCTAAATGAGCACTGCTAGACTGCCCTTTCCCAAAAAATCAAGGCTAGAGTAATTTTTCCTAAAAAATCATGGCTAGATTGCCCTTTCCTGAAGAATCTGCGCTAGCCTGCCTCTTCCTAGAGAATCTTCGCCAGCATGTCGTTCCTAAGGAATCCCTCCTAGCCTGCTTTTCCTAAAAACCTCTACTCACCCGGTTCCTCATTTTAAAACAGTTTTGACGAAATGAGTCATAAAATTGCCGCCACAACCGTTGATCGTCTTCAAGGCTTTGTCATCTCCTTTTCCGCTTCTTTCCAGTCTTTTCTATTTTCCTCAATGGCCCGCCTCCTTCACCAAAAGTCGTCAATATTTGCTCATATTTCAAATAGAGAAAATTGGGGCGCCAGTAGCAGCTGATGGTGCGAGGGGGGCAGAACGATTGCTGCATCTTAGCAAAACTGTCTTGTTAAATTCCAAATTGGTTTTTGCTAACAGATCCTCGATCTTTCCGTATGAATCTCTGCTTTCCCAGAGAATTTCTAAATAATCTTTGCTAGCCTTCCCTCTTCCTAAAGAAACACAGCTAGCTCGTCCACTCGTTTTTAGGGAATCCCTGCTAGCCGAGCCTTCCTAAGGATTCTCTGCTAGCCTACCTTTCCTTAAGGTTCTCTGCTATTCTCTCTAAAAAAACTCTCCTGCCCTTTCCTACAGCATTGCTAGCCTACCTTCCCACATGCAATTCTTACCAGTTAGCTCTCTATATAATACGTTTTCAGGTCCAAAATGTTGTCTACAGTATCCTTCGTGGTTACCGTAACCTTCTGCCTAGCCGCCCCAAATCGACGTATTAATGACGGGGACTATTTGGGCTACAGACTCGCCGAAGCCCCAGATTATTTATACGATTCCGGCGAGACTGCCGGCGCCCGAAAGCCCCAAAACCGCGTCCCGGATGTGGATTTCCATGGGTTAAAATTGGTACAACTGTCTTTAGGTTGTCTTCGTATTCCTCGAAGACCCAAAAAACTCTACGAAAAAGCAGAACAAGAACGGGGAACCTGGTGGGTGTATGCTTAGGCTTGAGCGGAGCCTAAACCGAAGCATAAAATCCGACCATTTTATAGAGGGTATGACCTACTCGGACTTTGTGAAAGCTGACATCTGCAAGGAGAACATCGCCCGAACGTGCTTTGATGACGCTGATGCGAATGGTGGGGGTTTTCGGGAGCTAAGCCTACGTCTAGGTCTAAACCGAACATAAGCCTAAGCCTAACCCAAGCCTAAGCCTAAGCATAAGCCCAGACCCGATAAGCCGATTTCTAATCCCGATGCCTAATAGGATTCCAATTTCAGGCGATGGTATTGTCACGAAGGCCGAGCTGAAGAAGTACCAAAAAGACTCGATGGCACGGGTCGAGAAGATGTTCGATGAGATGTACGCGCACAATTTTGCTGTACGTTTAAAGACCGGGGGTCCGAAGCCTAAGCCTAAGCCTAAGCCGAACCCCAGGAAGCGACCAAAAAACGGCACATCACTCAAAACTGACCTTTTCAGCTTGCCGACATCAATGGAGACGACAAGATCTCCAAGTCAGAAGCGCAAAAATATGCAAGCGATCAGCTAAAGGTATGCCTATGAATGGATTTTGACGCTTTGCCAGATTGTTCCGGACTCGGAATTCGATCGCCTGTTCAACGACATGGACACCAATGGCGACGGCTATCTGGACAAGAACGGTACTTTAATTCTATAGGTCGTAGCTTAGGTTTGAAACTAGGCCTTTGCCTCAGCCTAAGCCCAAGCCCAAGCGCAAGCCTAGTCAAAATCCTGCTTCAGAATTCACTAAGCTACTCGATTCCTGGTACCGCAACGACTACAATCTGAAACTGCAGTTTAACGACTACGCCAGCACCACTAATTTTCGTGAAAAACTTTCGAAAATTTCGAAAATAAGCTCGTTTTAGCGACGCTGCGACCCGACCCGGAAATCGAGCAAGTACCCCTTCACCCAACTCGTTAAATCCACAATAAATATTTTATCGCCGGGAAATGACAATTTTATGCCAGGAGACGCCGATGAGGCATAGGCTTAGGCTTAGGCTTAGGCATAGCGTTTTTCAGGTAATATCGGGTAAGTTAATGATCGATTCCGTTCCTCTCCGGCTTGTGTACCCGGCCATGTTTGGGCGTGGCCGTCTATTTGGCCTCTGGGGGTTGGATGTCCGAAATGTATGCATAGGAGTACGGCTTGCGGGTGCGCCCACCCCGGCGTTGCAGCTAACTAGATTTTCCCAAGGAAACTCTGCAAACCTGCTTTTCCTACCGAATCTCTGCTAGCCTCCCTTGCTAGCCACCGCATTCCGAAATGCTACGGAGATGTCCGTTCCTCGGTCGTCCCTCGTTTTGCCCTGATTCAACGATGAAAATGGCATCTGAGGCACATTTGAGCGGGATGATTCAACTTGAGGATGGCGGGGCGGTTTCGCCCTTAGTTAGGAAATATTTGGAAATCGTATTCTCTGTCTCTCTCTCTCTCTCTCTCTCTCTCTCTCTCTCTCATCATCCGCATGGATACACCCCGGCCATCGTCGGCCCTAACATGGGCCCCATTTTGTTTGATTGGCCATGTTTTGGCGGCTCGGATGCGAGGAGGGGCCGGGATGTTGTTTTCCGGTCGTGACCACAACTACTACACAGCACACCAAATTACACCAGTTTTATATTTTACAGTAAGTTGTGGCTGTGTAGGTGGGAGAGTGAGAGAGAGAGAGAGAGAGAGAGAGAGCAAGCGAGAGAAACCGACGGAAAGCATGTTGGAGAGACATTTGTTTTCTACATTTTCGAGGACGCCGTTCCCCTCCTTCCGACCTTCAGAATATCCCCCTGGGGCCCTCCTCCTTTTGGACCCTTTCTCCCTTTGGACCCATTCCATGGGGGCAACACTAAAGCTAGGGCCCCGGGCCCCCCTAGCTTTTTCGGGCTCTTTTTGTTGGACCCACTAGCCTGGGCGGAGAGAGCACGAAAATCGAGACGCACAGAGCACACATCCTTCTCCTCCTCCTCTTCCCCCGCTCTGACCCACCAATACAGCACATCGATCTCGGGCCCATGTGGGCCCTACCAATTCTTCAAAAGTTTCCGCGCTGAAAGCATTCGAATGCTTCGGTTTAATGGGTTCAGCTTTTTCTAGACGGCTTCGAATTTCGAGATGAAAAGCTAAAAATTTGTCTTTTTTTTGAAGAATTTTTGAAGACACCTTCCTTTCCCTTTCTCTTTATCTCTCTCACTCTCTCTCTCTCTGCTCTCTCTCTCCTTCTCCCCCATCTCACGCGGTTTCACTATTTCTCCAAGGATCCCTGCTAGCCTGCCTTTCGCGGTCACTTGAGGCCTGCCGTGGGTTGTTTTTTGCCTGTCTCTCTTTCACTCTCTCGCTCTCTCTCTCCCGTCTCAAAGAATCTGTGCAATGCCTCAGTTTTTGCCCTTCCCCCTGGTGCTCCTCTGGGTGTTGTGTATGGGGAGCAGCTGTCGCTGTGTAGGCGTCCACTAGGCCCCCTCCTTTCAGCCAGCCCGGCCGTTCTTTCCCGGCGATGATACGGTCCAAAAAGCGTTTTTCTTTCTATTATTTTTCACTCATTTTTTACTCTATATGACTCGCTCGCACTTATGTTCTCTCTCTCTCCTCTCTCTTACTCCCTCCCTCTCTCTCTCTCTCTCTCTCTCTCTCTCATTGTCCCTATCTTTCTATGCCCGACCCCATACTATTGTTTTTTTCTTGTAAAAATCACCCCGACAGCTTCAAAGGCTCTTGATATGAAATCTTGGCCCTCCCTAACCTCTCTCTGACCTCACGGTTCCAGAAAAATTCAACCCTCACAACGCTTCAGAGACAGCGGCAGCAAATTCCATTAAATTCTCAGCGCGACTCTGCCTTCCAGGTCCCTTTAAAAACGATAGTCATCATAAAGACCCCCAACCAGATCTAAAGTATCCCTGCTAGATCCCCCGGCACGACCGGGGGCAGTGGTGGCGCCCCGAAGGGGATTGTAAAGTCGAAGCCGACGGACGAGAGAGAGATCGAGAGATAGAGAGAGAGAGAGAGAGGGAGAGATAGAGAGTGAGAGAGAGCGGGATAAAGCCAAGGGGAGCCATCTGTGCCCTCCAACAGACAGCAGCAACACACCGACCACCCCGGGGGCCCTCCACACTTTTGCACCAGACATATGGTGGACCGGGGAGGGGACAAATTGACAGAGAGACAAGAAGATAGCCTTCAGTAGATGCGCAGTTATCGATTGAACTTGTTGAAGTTGTTCGCCGGGCTGATTGCCTTAATTATACATTGTAGTGGTGCAGAGGCGTTTGATCTTGATTTTGAATGCCTAAGGGTAAGATTCTTAAGCCTAAGCCGAATCAGCCTAAGTGCCTCGATGGTGATACGGAACTGCTAAAGTAATTCAGCTCACAACATCCATCAACTTGCTCTCTCTCTCTCTCTCTCTCTCTCTCTCTCTCTCTCTTTCTCTCTCTCTGAAGCCCATCTCTATGACTCACATACAATGAGCCATGAATGACTAAGGGCCCCCGAGGGCTAGTGGCCCAGCCAAGGGCCCTACCAAGGCCTTGGGCGCGGGACCCAATTTAGGGCCGTTTGATGCACGCATTTGGGCCCGGCTACGACTTGGCGGTTGGCCAATTGGGCGCTTTTTATTGGGCGAGTTGATAGCTCGAATTTGCAAGAAACTTTCTAGAAAATATTTGGTAGCTAGCTTTCTCTGATAAATTCCTTTTGGATCGGGATTTTCTAAAAAAGAATCACTGCCCGTTTTTTGTTTCCTAATGAATCTTGGCTAGCCTCTTTCTGAAAGATCCTTTGCTAGCCTGTCTTTCCCTAAAAATCTCTACAAGCAATCATAACACCCCTGATGACCTCCCCGTTTGCCTTTTTTGGGCTATTCGCCGACCCCCCGGCCATACACTGTGTGCCAGCTATTGATCGGATCAGTCAGTGTCTGTCTCTCTGTCCACCCTCTCTATCTCTGCCCTCTCTCCCTCCCTCTCACTCTCTCGCTCCCCTCTACCCGTCTTTATGGCCTGCGGGCTCGGGCGGCCCGCAGGCCATTAGTATTCAACCCCGGACCAGGGCGGCTTTTCGGTCAAAAGCACAGGGGGTTATCCCGGTTTTACAGTTTCACTCTGCCGCTCTGGATGTCTCTCTCTCTCTCTCTCTCTCTCTCTCACTTTCTTCTTTCCCATTTACGATTTCCGGTTTTCCCGTACGCTCCACAGAACAGCTGGCCGGCGCATGCTCGTTTTTTTATTGGCTGATTTCAAATCGTCCCGGTAATTTTTTTTGCTTACGTAAACCTTGTAGATTATGATTTTTGCCGAATTTTAATTTCCTAAAAAAATTCGGCCTCCCTAAACTAAATCTTTACGATTTGAGATTTATTTGTCGTCTTTTCATAGTTCAGAAGTGTTTTTTATTGTTCTTAAATTGGATAAGTTTCCTAATTTTTCGCTGCGGAGGCTGGTTATCAGCTGGGCCCGCTTCGTCATTGTAAAATGTTGAAAGTGGCATGGGAAAACAGAAGTAATAATTTTTGACCGGGTTTTGTTTCACTGTTTCTTTCTGTATGTCTCCCTCTCTCTCTATTTCCCCTCCCCCGCTCTCTCGCTCTGTTTCTTTCTCTCTCTCGCTTTCTCTCTCTCTCTCTCGCTTTCTGTCTCTCTCTCTCACTCTCTCTTTGTTTTTTTCGTTTTTCTCTCGATCGTGATAGTTGTCTCTATTTTTTTGGGAGGTGATTCTCTCTTTAACTCACTCTTTCTCGGTCACTCTGATTCTCAACATCTTTATGTTTCTCCTCCCCTAGCTCTTGCTCTATTTTCTGCCACGTTTTTCTTGATTCCGCTATCTCTCTCTCTCTCTCTCTCACCTTTAATAAAGCCAATCATCCAAATTATAAGTGCAAAGTAAAGAGGCATTAAGATAAACAAACAAAATTACTAAAATATGATTTTGCCTCGACAATCCCTTTAAAACCCGAATTTCGGGTCGGCCACTGCCCTCTTTCAATCGGTGATTCATCTTCGGCCCCCTTGCCCCGTCCATTTTTCGATGCCAAATCGACTTTTTTTGGCGGGCCGGGGACGCCAGGCCCGTTTTCTCTCCGTCTTTTTTTTTGGGAATCGTGTTCCGATTAGTCATTTCGAATTTGTGGCATGATTGCGAGAAATTTCTTGAATTTCTTGGAGTTTTACACGTTTCGGAAGGTTTTGCTCTCTATCTCTGTCTCTCTCTGTCTCGCTCTCTCGCTATATTTCTCTCTCGCTCTCACTTTATTTCACTAGCCGTTCCAAAATACCTCCACTTCAGCCACCCACCACCACCAGGATGGGCGTGCTGACGCTGAACGTGCTTTGGCGGGCCGCCGACGGGGAGACGACGAAGAAGACGATGCAGTTCGACTCGAAGATGCTCATCTACGACGTCAATCAGATGATCCGCGACAAGCTCGGGCTCAGGGACATCAAGCCGCAGGAGTACGGGCTGCTCCGCGTCGACGATCGCGACGAAACGAAGAGCCTCTGGATGGACTCGGGCAGGTAGGCGGTCTAGCGGAGATCCTGCAGGAAATTCCTTGATTCCCCATTAATACTCGAATTTCCAGACCGCTCGAGTATTACCTTGTACACAACCACGACACCGTGGAATACGGTAAGAAGACACGACTTCTCAAGGTTCGAATGCTTGACGGGGCCATCAAGACGGTCGGCGTCGACGAGAGCCAGCCCGTGCAGCAGTTGATGACCACCATATGCGGCAAGATTGGCATCAGCAACAGCGAGGAGTACAGTCTGGTAGGTTCTCGCCGTCGTTAGGTAGTAGGTAGGTTAGGCTAAGCCTCAGATCTGGCGGTTTCGCCATGGCCAAGTCGGATAATGTTTTTTATGGGGTCCGGTTTGTATTTTTGATGTAAAACCCAAAATTGTGTAAAATCGGCATTTTGTGAATCGGCATTCTGTAAATCGGCATTTTGTAAAATCGGCATTCTGTGAATCGGCATTATCAGCTTATACCAGTAGCTGGGGCCCAGGGCTATCGATTGGTGGTCTTAAAAAATTTTTGGGACTTTCCGGCTGGGGGGGGGGGGTAAAGTAAACTCTTACCCCAATTTCTCTGAAAATATCAGAAAAATTATGCTTATGATTGGGCATGGCTTAGGCATAAGAAAATTGGGTAATTGACCGCAAACTTGGGTAATTGAACCGGGCGCCGCCGTGCCTTCCCACTCGCCCCAAACCTGGCCCACTGTGTGGACAGATAGTCCAACCCTCTCCACCTCAATTCGTCAGTCGGTGGTGGAGGGGGGGGGGGGGGGGGGGGGGTTTTTTATATTTTTTTTTTTTTTTTTTTTTTTTTTTTTTTTTATTTTTTTTTTTTTTTTTTTTTTATTTTTTTTGGTTTTTTTTTTATATTTTTTTTTTTTTTTTTTTTTTTTTTTAAAAAAAAGGGTTTTTTTAAAAAGTGGGAATTGGAGAAAATATTTTTTTTTTTTTTTTTTTTTTTTTTTTTTTTTTTTTTTTTTTTTTTTTTTTTTTTTTTTTTTTTTTTTTTTTTTTTTTTTTTTTTTTTTTTTTTTTTTTTTTTTTTTTTTTTTTTTTTTTTTTTTTTTTTTTTTTTTTTTTTTTTTTTTTTTTTTTTTTTTTACCCCGACCTTCTGACAAATGGGTGTCAGGGCTCCCCTTAATGCCTGAAAATGGGTGTAATGGCTCCCCTTAATGCCTAAGAAAAGCTTCGGCTTCTGAACTGCTTGAAAAGCTTCGGCTTTGCAGTGAAATACTGGCTTGGCTACGTGTTCTACGTTAATCCAAATGCCTAAGCAACCGGTTGGTAAGGCTGCAGCCACCGGCGCGGCACTTACGAAAAAGCCTGGCCCATACACGTGGTGGCCAAAAAAGGCAAATTTCCATCCAATTTTCGCATTGTGCCCCGACCCCTCCCCCCCCCTCCCCCCCTCTCCCCCCCCCCCCCCCCCCCCCCACCCCAAAACCAGCCAAACGGCCCAAAACCCGTATTTACCCCCCAAATCCACGGAAAGGGCTTTTTACAGGAAAAGCCTTTTTGGATTTACAGGAGAGCGTTAAATGGGGCGCGATACAGGGGGGGTTTTTTACAGGAGGGCGTGAGGGGCGCGAAGGGGGGTTAAATACGGCCGCAAAACGGCCCTGACACCCAGCCCTTCATTAACATAGCACAGGAAGGGTAGGGTAAGCTAGCAGAGGTCATTTACGGAAACTGCAATCATGACCGGCAGGCCAGCAGTGACACTTTGCGAAAGCCGATCCTTGGGTAATCTGGCAGAGATCATTGAGGAAGGGCAAGAGACAAGTGCTAGCAAACAAAGGTTGACCCTTGGTAACGTGGAACTAGAGTTTCTATGAAAAAAAGGAAAAAATAAAGCTAATCGGCATTCTGTGAATCGGTATTTTGTAAAATCGGCATTCTGTGAATCGGCATTATCAGCTTATAGCAGGTTTAGGCTTAGGTTTAGGCATAGGTTTGGGCATACGCTTAGGTTTTGGCCTAGGCTTAGGTTTAGGTTTAGCTCAATCCAGACTTAGCCAGGCTTATTTTTAGGTTTAGGCTGAGGCTTAGACTTAACCGTAGCCAACCTCACTCATCCTTCCATTTTAGGTTCGCGAGACCGAGAAAGACAGCAAGGCGCGGTCGATGCACAATCTTCGAGACATCCGAGACCGAGCCGCCGAGGAGCAGAAGAAGGAGAAGGGCCTCCTCTCGGGCACACTGGGCCGCAAAAAGGAGCAGAAAATGGAGCAGTTGAGGCAGAAGCTACATACCGACGAGGAGATACCGTGGATTGATCACAATAAGACACTGCGGGAGCAAGGGATCTCCATTGATGAGACTCTGCTTTTAAAGGTACGTTGATGGGGCAGGCTAGCAGGTCTTCTTGAGGTGCCATTAGTTCTCCAACTCACCCTTTCCAGAGGCGTTTCTTCTTCTCCGACACAAATGTCGACAGCCGGGACCCGGTGCAATTGAATCTGCTGTACGTGCAGTGCCGAGATGGAGTACTGTCGGTGGGTCGCAGTTTAGAAAGCGGTTAGCTAGGATTTAGGGTGCACATCCGGTGCAGCGCGAGACTGCCCTCACCCTGGCCGCCCTACAATGCCAGATTCAGTACGGCGACTTCCCGGAGAACAAGCCGAAATTTGTTATTGAGTGAGTACTTCTGGCTTAGGCTTAGGTTAGGCTTAGGCTTAGCCTTAGCTTTAGGCTTAGTTTGGGCTTAAGCTGAGGCTTTGGCTTAGGCTCGGGCGGGGGTTAAGCCTTTATCGGCTTGCCTTAGGGCCGGCGTTGGATGCCCTCAACTTAAAAATGCCTATTTAAAAGTCCAAACTAATATTCGTTCAACCCCTAGTTGGCCCCCAACTTTTCTTAAAGCAGCAGAACACGCGATTGGGGGGAAGGGCTTAAGCCTAGCCTAAGACCTCTAAACATTGGCCAGACGAGAGAGAGAGAGAGAGAGAGAGAGAGAGAGAGAGAGAGAGAGAGAGAGGGAGAGATAGAAAGGGAAAGAGAGAGAAAACAATTCTTTGCAGTGCTCGTGATCTTCTGCCGAAGGAATATGAGAAGAAGCGCTCCGAATTCGAGAAGGAGATTACGCAGGTGAGGAGTTTAGGAGAGATAGAGTGAGGGAGAGTGAGAAATCTCTCGGTACCAATCAAAATCCTTACAGATGTACAAAGAATTGTCCGGAACCGGCGAGCTCGACGCCAAGAGCCGCTACGTGCAGATGTGCCGCGGCCTGAAGACTTACGGCGTCACCTTCTTCGTTGTCAAGGGTGAGTTTTTTTGAGATTGTTCAGCTTTTTCAATTCTTCGTTAAAAATCTGACCCCAAAAGTTATCCAACCCCGCCCTGAAGCTCCCTCATCCCACTCGCCCATTCTGGCGCTTCCGGTTGGCCGGGTCGGCTCTGAAAAATTGGACTCTATGTGGGGGCTGGGATTGAGGTCTCTGCCCCCTTCGAAACAATCCATCCAGCCATCCCTTGCATCGCTGCACATTGCCTTTAATTGGTCCGGGTCGGTGGGGTGGAGCGCGTAGGGTTGGTAGCGGAGTTTGTTGTAGTTTGTACTGAGCCTAAGCCTAAGCGTAAGTCTATAAGCCTAAGCCTAAGCCTAAGCCTAAGCCTAATCTTAAGCATAAGCGATGTTCTGCCATTCAAGAATCAGTACTGGATCTGACCTTCGTTCCCAAATCCTATCTGCTAAAGACCCCGAATTCGCAAATGATCTCTGCTAACTTCCCGCGCATGCCAAAAGATATTTGCACTCCACCAATTCCAAGGTTATCTTTGCTGGCCTGCGTCACCTGGCTCATTTTTGTTGTCTCTCCCCTTTCCTCCAGGGCTACGGAATCGATTAGGGCCAAAGCCTTTAGGGCCCCTTAGGGCCCGGAGAAGCCGCTTTTCAAAACATCGTTATTGGGCCGTGGGGGGCGAAGTCTCGAAAATGAGATTTGCCCCTCCCCCCGGCAAATTTGCCCCCCCCCCCCGCCATCATTTCCTCCGCCGCGTCCCCTCGACGTCGGCAAAGCGTTTATCGTATGCACGCGGAAAGGTGCCATTGTTCGCGACGGGGTGTACGGTAGATGAGCTTAAGCGCTTAAGAATCGCCTAGATTTAAGCTTTTAGCCGCCTTTTGAAAGCTAAGCGGATCTTAAGCCTAAGCGATAACCGAAAGAATCTCTGCTAGCTTACCCTAGTTTCTAAATGGAAAATTGCTAGCAACCTTTAAACTTTTTAGAAAAGGTCAATGGCAAGAACAAGCTGGTGCCTCGTCTCCTCGGAATCAACAAGGACTCGGTGAGTGTTCGAAGCTTGAACATTTCCACATCGTGTCACAACACTTAAAACATACCCAAAGCGCTTCTGAACTCCTTGAAAACGTCGTCCTTAGATGCAGTACAAATTGTCCGACATGCCATGCTGGCTTTAAAACGCAGCGATGCGTGAGAACTTGTTGAAGACATCATATTTGTTCTCTTCTCCTTTCCTTAAACGTTTTCCTTCCAGATCATGCGCGTCGACGAGAAGACGAAGGACATCTTGAAGGAGTGGCCACTGGAGCAGGTTCGACGATGGGGCAACACCGGAAATACATTTTCGCTGGTAAGCTGGAACTGCTTGAGGACGAAGTTTTTCCTGAGGCTTAGGCTTAAGTTAGGCTTAGACTTAGGAAGCTTATTCTACCTCCCGATCCGTAAAACGAATCCCTTTCAGGACTTTGGCGACTACCAAGATGGTTACTACTGGGTGAACACACCGGAAGGAGAGCGAATCGCAGCTCTTTTGGCTGGGTGAGATTTCAGGGATTTTAATTTTAAAGCGATAGTGACAGCAAAATTATTGCTGATTTTTTTCAGCTACATCGACATCATCCTGAAGAAGCGCAGAACGGCTGACCACCGGGGAATTGAGGGAGACGAGGGGTCGACGATGCTGGAAGATATGGTCGCACCGGCCAGGGCTACACTGGTAGGCTAGCAGAGAATTTTTTGGAGAGGGTAGGCTAGCGGGGATAATTTAAGAAACGAGGACAGGCTAGCCCAGACGTCAGTTCCATTTCCAGGTGGCGCACGGTCAGATCGGGGACGGATCACACCAACAGGCCGTCCATGGGAACGTGGCGGTGCCGGGCGTCCTTCGCTCGTCCGCCACCCCAACCGGTTACGGTATCAACGGTGCCCAATATGGTGCCGTCTCGGGCCAGATCATCTCGCAGTCGATGCCCAGGGTAGGTCACGAGTAGTAGCAAAAATTATGTCGGAAGGGGAGGCTTAGCTGGCCTTAGGCATAGACTTAGCTTGGCCTTAGGATAGGCTTAGGCTCAGACTTAGGCTTAGACTTAAGCTTAGGCTTGGGGTCATGCTTCTGCTTGAGCTCAGGATTAGGCTTGAGATTACGCCTAGGGAAAAGCGCCTTTGATGCAGTATTAAAAAAAACTTACATTTAATCGGTGGTAGCCAGCAAAGTCTTTTTATTAGCCCCCATCCCCACCCCTAAAGTAACTATACCCAACTCAGCCCAATCTTTTTCCAGGCCCTCGAGGGTGTTGAGCGCCCAAATGAGGGGGCCCATTTTGCCAATTAAAGGGCTCAGCAAGAGCCCACTTGGCCCACCTGGCCCCTTTGGGTCTTTTGGGTCTCCAGTTGGGGCCCTTGGGCCCTTTGGGGGTGTCCGGGGCGACATATTGTTCCCCCTAACAATGGGCAGGGACCCTAGTGCACATAGCGCCCCCCAAATTGCACTCTTGGGGGGCGGTCGTGGATGCTTATTCTCTGTGCTTATTCTATACAGATTTCGGCGGCCACTCGGACTGAGGGGGGATGATGAGGTTTAGGGCTATGGGGTTGTGGCACAAAAGCAACGCGTTTAGCGGGAGCTAGCTCTGCGGAATACAGCGATTAAGGCGAATTTGCAGGGTGAACGCGTCCGTGTCGTCGAGAGCCGCGACCGCGCCCAGCGCGCCCTCGTTGGAACCATCGAGGCTTCGATCCGGGCCGTCGATGAAGCCGAGGAGGAGCTACAGAAGGAGCCCGAGATCGAGCTGCCCAAGTTCCCAGAGGATCCGAACTCGAGGAGGTAGGCCTCGCTTTCTCTCTCTCTCGCGCGCTCTCTCTCTCTCTCCTGTCTCTCTCCCTCAGTAAAATACCTCTTGCAGGTGGGTCGAACACCAGCGCGACCTCGGCAAGGAGAACGTCAACGAGAGGCTGGCAGCGATGGGCGCAGCCACAGCTCAGGTTGTCCAATGGACGGCCGTGCAGGAGGAATACGACGAGAGGGTCGGGTCCGCAATCGCGACCATCGGCGGAAATCTACCCGAGATGGGGCGCGACGTGCGCGACTTGGCTGCGTTGATGCCCAACGAGAGGCGCGGGGATTTGATTGGTTGGTTTGGAAGGAATGGTGATAGGCTTAGGCTTAGGCTTAAACTTAGGTTAGGCTTAGGCTTAGGCTTCGGTCAGGCTTAGGCTTAGGCTTAGGCTTAAGCTTGGGCTTAGGCTTAAGGCAGAGCCTAGCTAACCAACTCCTTTAAAATGGATACGCTATCTAATGACCACCTTCCAGACGCTGCCCGCCGTCTCTGCGGCGCTTTCGGAGACTTCCTGACCTCGGTCAACCCCGAGCAGGAGGAGAAGCGCACGGTCATCCTGGCCGCCGCCGGACGTGTCGGAGACGCCTCGCACAACGTATGGTTCCCAGATTTAGGTATTGATTTTTGGCTGTAGATGATCAACACCATCGACGAGCCGACATCGCACGAGACGACGTTCCACTCGGAGCTCGTGCAAAAGTCGAAGACTGTCGCCACGTCGACGGCCCAGCTGGTGTTGAGGTGGGTGCATTTTCTAAAGCATCACTGCTAGCTTGCCTTTCCAAAGGAATCTTTGCTAGTATGCCTTCTCGTGAAGACTCCCTGCTAGCCTGCGCATTCCCAGAGAATATCTGCTAGCCGGTCCTTTCTGTCACGCTCCCTTTAATTCACCCCGGAAAACTCAACCCAGCGCCGTAAAAATCCATGCTATACTGGCGACGGCCCATCCGAGCATGAATCGCAGCGGGTTGTGGGCCTTTTTGGGCCCTTGCTGGGCCCTTCGATGGCCCCCTCCTCCTCCTCCGAACTCATCCATCAGAGTGCGGGCCATATCTGGGCGTCCCCGGGGACACACGGCCCCCTTGGCCCACCCCAAAAGCCCTCGATCACACTTTTGACCCTCTTTCTTCTCCTTCTTCTACTTCTTCTGCAGCTGCTTCGGCTGCTTCTGCCTGAACCACTCCTCTTTGGCCCTTCCTTAGGGCCCAACTCAAGGGCCCGGGGGTTGTCGCTTAGGCTTCTCGGGCTCCCTTTAGGGCCCTCCTCATCCTCCCCCGCGCATCCATCTTTTAGGGTTCCCCTGCCTGGGCCGCTTGATAGGTACTGTAGCCCAGAAGAGGCTTCATATGACCGAGATTGGGCTTAGGCTTAGGCTTAGGCTTAGGCTAACAGAGGTCGTCCATGGAAATTGGCCATATCGATGGGCTTAGGCTTAGGCTAAGGCTTAGGCTTAGGCTTAGGCTTAGGCTTAGGCTTAGGCTTAGGCTTAGGCTTAGGCTTAGGCTTAGGCTTAGGGCTTAGGCTTAGGCTTAGGCTTAGGCTTAGGCTTAGGCTTAGGCTTAGGCTTAGGCTTAGGCTTAGGCTTAGGCTTAGGCTTAGGCTTAGGCTTAGGCTAACAGAGGTCGTCCATGGAAATTGGCCATATCGATGGGCTTAGGCTTAGGTTTAAGCTTAGGTTTAGGCTTAAGCTTAGGCTTGGGCTTAGAAGTAGTTCTGGGCCTCTGAACGCTATTTACGGACCTTCTCGGTCCCCTTGAAGTTACGGTCGCGGGGACCCTCCGTTTGCCCGCTCTTGCTTTGGCATAAATCTTTCACACTCCCCGCCTGAACCGTTCATAGGCCGGACGCATTGCGGGCCCCCAGCCGGGGGTCAACCCCTAATTATTCGGGAATTGGGCTGACGGCTGGCCAAGAGGGCCCTTTAAGGGCAACATTTGGCCCCCTAGCCTAACCGACAGAAAGATGAACAGAAGGCCCGGGATGTCGGGCAGACAGACAGAGGTCACAATCCCCTCGAGAGGCCCCCGGGCCCTAAGCCATTTGTCTCGGCGCCTCCCCCTGCCACACAGCCCACCATGCAAATTTATGCAAATTGCTGGTTGGCACCCCGGAGCGGGGCGCCCAGTTGGACGCCCCGAAAATGTGGGCGGGGTCTCGAGGCGCAGAGTCGCGGGTGGGTGGGCCCTAAGGGCCTTAAGGCCCATTCTCCGGCCCGGACCAACGCCGCCCAGATTCGTTCGGCCCCAACGGCTCGTTAGTGAGCCGTTTATGGGGCTGGGCCCCCAGTTTGTCCCCTCTTCTTCCCCATCCGAGTAGTACATTTTGGAGGCTGACACGTTGGAAAATTATCTAGCGTTATGTCTCTCTCTCTCTCGCCTTCGCTCGAGCTCTCTCTCCCTTTCTCTCGCTCTTGCTCTATCTCGGACTTTTTGGTCTTGGCTCTGAAAGCAACGCACAAATATTTTCTCACCTGGAAATGTAAGTATCTTTTGATACTCTTTCACTTTCATCTCTCTCTCTCTCTCTCTCTCTCTCTCTTCTCTCTCTCTCTCTCTCTCTCTCTCGCTCGCTCCCGCGCTCAACTACTACTCACGTTTTCCTCCGTCCTCACGAGGCATTATCTGGGCCCCGGCGCGCTCTTGGTCGAGCCTGAGGAAATGATTTATCGTGCTCCCCTAGTGGCAGCAAGACATAGCAAGAGAGGGAGAGAGAGAGAGAGCAAGCGAGACCGAGAGAGAGAGAGAGAGCCGCCTAAAAACCACCAGATGAGTATCTCCAGCATCTTCTCCCCTCCAACCTCCGCCTATTTAGGTGCCCCTGCGTTCCGATATCATCCTGTTTTCGCAGCGCTTGACCAAACTATAATAACCCAGCGCGTGCCTTGAATATTTTCTAGGCTTTACAGAAAAGTTCAAGAATCACTGCTAGTTTTCCTGGTTGTAGGCGAAATTTCGTAAGAGGCATAAGTTTCAGCGCAAGCCTAAGCCTAAGCCTTGGCTTAAGCTAAGCCGCTGACAATTCCTAACCCCCAAAAAATTGCCGAAAGGGAACCCCACGGCGCCATTCCTCATCCGTTCTTGACATTAGCTGCCAGCCGGTTCCCATCACCCATCCTCTCTCTCTCTCTCTCTCTCTCTCTCTCTCTCTCTCACACTCTCTCTCGCTGCCCCCCGATGAGTTGTGATGTCTATACGGTGCGCTAATCACCAAAGGGTGGGGGCTGGATGGGACTGTGGCATAGCCACTGATAGAAAGCCGCCGAAAGTGAGAGCGACTCCACCCTTATGGCTTTGAGAGTGACGGTGCTGCTCCCCCTATCCTATACCTACTCGGATTCGTGCTCCGATTTGCCGACGCCCGCTGCGTCGACTTGCTGGGCCTCACTGGGCATATTTCCTACACTTTTGAGTATATTTTGGGCTTTTTCGAAGCCTACTTAACTCTAGCTTCGCAGGGACCGTTTTTCCACGTTAATTTGGGCTTTACGTGACCGTCAAAAAGTTTCTGAGCACTACCACGAGCTGAAGCAGTTCAAACGTGGTTAATAGGTTTGATCTCGAAAAATCTAAACCTAGGACTCCCCTTAAGATTAAGTATAGCTTGCCCTAGTTTTAAACTAAACGTAGAGTCAAGCAAGCTGAACCAGTGGCTTCGACCTCATAGTCTGGACGAAGCTACGACCTCTCGAAACCTCGAGTTCAAGCAGTTCAAGTCTACTAGCTTCCCTAGGCTAGTCTAAGCTCAAAAAGTCCCAAAAAGTCCCAGTGGGTCCCGTGGCGGCGTTGGCGGAGCAGCCACGAATACCGTAATTCCCTCCTAATGGCACCCCGACACCCATTGCCGCAGTCGCAACTCAGCCGCAGCCACAGTCGAAGCTCAGGCTCGTCGGTTCGCTCGGAACCATGCCTCACTCGGTTCCACGGGAAGCCCGCCAACGGGGCCCAGCACGATCTGCTGGGCCACCGCAAATTCCCGCCCCTACAGTACTATCTGAAGGCGTTCGAGGCGAACCCGCAGCCGCACTTTCTGGGAAGGGTGCCGAGTGAACCCTATTTTTGGCGTGGGTACGGTGGAAGAATTTGGTTTGGGTTTGGGTTTGGGCCCAGGCTTAGGCTTACATATAAAACTCTTCTATCAATTTTCTAGTTGATGCTCAATGTAGGGCTTTTCTTTTCCGTTTCAATCTATACCTAACATTTTTCAGAGCCAAAACCGTCGCCGCGGAATGCGGGGAGAACGAGCAAGTTCAGGACCGTGTCATCCGGTCGGCCACCCAGTGCGCGTTCGCCACCTCGCAACTGGTTGGTTTTTTTTGGGAGATAGCGAGTGCGAATGAGAGAGAGAGGGAGAGAGAGAGAGATCTTTGACCCTTACCACTCCAGGTATCCTGCTCCCGTGTCGTCGCCCCGACGATCGAAAACAAGGCATGCCAAGAGCAACTCCGCCAAGCCGCCAAGGAAGTATCAACCGCCGTCCAAGACCTCCTCAACGAGTCCGACTACGCCGTGCAAACTGTACAACGTGGTCATCAGGTTGGTCAGCCCCAGGTTGCTCTAATTCGGTTCCTCCAGACGCTCGGCGACCTTCACGAAGCCGCCCGCCAAGTCACCTCAGCCCTCGATGACCTGCTCGACCATGTCAAGACGTCCCCCCAAGGGTCAGGAGCAGCATGGCGATGAACAGTGGGAGCATGTGCTCCGCTCTTCCAACCGACTCGTCACCCACCAGGGGCCCACCCAAGATCTGGTGAAGCAGAGCGAGCGTGTTGTGCGCCATTCGCAGCTTTTGGTCGAGGACTTTGAGCGTCAGGCGACGCAACATCCAGAGCATAAAGATCGTCTACTGGATGCTGCCCGAAAGGTCGCGTCCGCAACAAGCAACATGATCGATGCGACGAAGGAGTGCGAGTACCGCCCGAATGCTGTGGAGAGCCAGATGGCTGTTCGGTGAGTGAGGGGCTGGGGGAAGAATTGGTTATTCTTGGGCTTAGGTTTTATGATAAGTTTCAATGCCACAATTTGAAAAATTGAACTGTCTAGTTGAAGCTCATCTCCACCAATTTCAGTTCCGCCGCTGAGAACCTGCTGACCGCTACGAACGAGGCGACGGCTGATCAGCAACAGCAGAAGACGATGCAACGACTCGAACAAGCTGCGCGAGACACTGCTTATCACGCCACGCAAACCGTCACTGCCGCCAACCAAGTGAAGGTAGGTGTTCACCAGTTTCTGGTTGCTGTTGATGCACTAGGCCGGAGATGAGCGAGCTGGTGTGGTGCTGGGGTGATGGGGAGGCTAACAATGTTTCTTTGGGAAAGGATAGACTAGCAGAAATTCTTAGGGAAAGTTAGCAGAAAGCTAACAGAAAAATTTAAGAAATCGATACCCAGCAACATACCATCCCCAACAACCTCCCAAATAGCACAAGCACAGGCCGTCCACACACTAGTCCGCTTGGCTCCAAATTGCATTCCCCTGCATCTTCCGCGTAGGAATACCGCTCTCTATCCCGAAATTCTGTATCCCGAAACACCCAATCCCGAAATTCTGTATCCCGAAACTCCCAATCCCGAAAACTCTCTATCCCGAAAACTCTCTATCCCGAAAACTCTCTATCCCGAAAACTCTCTATCCCGAAAACTCTCAATCCCGAAAGCTCTCATCGAAAACTCTCTATCCCGAAAACTCTCTATCCCGAAAACTCTCAATCCCGAAAGCTCTCTATCCCGAAAACTCTTTATCCCGAAAACTCTCTATCCCGAAAACTCTCTATCCCGAAACTCAGTATTTTGCGTTTCCTAACGCCCTACATCCTTGAAGGCATCGGAAAATCATTTTATCAAATTTCCGAAACCGAAAAATAGCGGAAAACTATTTACTTCAAAGATTTAGTCTGGTGTTCGGTACGATAAAGCTAGCTAACTTGTTTCGGGATATGGAGTTTCGGGATAGAGAGTTTTCGGGAAAAGTTTTCGGGAAAAAAGCTTCGGGATAGAGAGTTTTCGGAAAGAGTTTTCGAAAGAGAATTTTCGGGATAGAGAGTTTCGGGATAGAGAGTTTCGGGATACAGAATTTCGGGATACAGAATTTCGGGATACAGAATTTCGGGATAGGGGAAATACCCCCCGCGTAGCCGCCAAAATATGTTAGTGCACAGAGGCTCTCGGGTCTCGACCCTTTCCTGCCACAAACCTAAGCGTAAGCCAATACCTAAGCCCATGCTTGGTTAGGAGGCGCCGAAGGAGAAGCGGATACGCACCGAGGTGACCGAGGAGCTGCTGGTAGATGACGACCACCAAGTGCTCGTGGTGCCCATCAAGAAGGCCAATACGTCATACTATCACACCACGGAACAGCACTATAGTCGCTATTAAAGGGGGAATGACAGCAGGGGTTTTTGGGGAAAGAGGTGGTGCCGCTAGGTTTCCATCACTTTTCCGAGGAAGCCTGCTGTTGAAATCCCTTTAAAAGTTGCTACGGTCTTGTCTTGTTAGAGGGATGTAGGGCTTAGGTTTTATCTAAGCATACGCCTAAGCCTACACCCATGCCTCTATTTCCCCTGCGTCCTCATATCACTGCTCGATTCTGCCGCCTTGCCATTGCCACTGTCTCGCTATACAGCACCACTGCCTACCGTACCCCGCCTTTTGACGAAAATTGTGTGTTTTCACGAAATTACGAATACCTACGAACCTATAACGCGCGTCGCTAGGCGTGAGGTGGAATTTGCAGGGATTCTGAAGCTAAAGTAGAAGTTTTTTAGAATGCTGGAAATTTGCCAATCTCTTTGGACTTCAATGTCCCTTTAATTCCATTTCACGCGTAATAACACGCTCCCGAAATTCCCCGCGACTCCACCATATCACCCATTCACTAGCCCATCACCCCGAAAAATGTTATATCCCCCCGAAATTGGTGTCCTTTTATAGTTTGTAGTCTGCGCCTAGATTTCCCCGATGAATCTGTAAACGTTCGATAAATCGAGAAAATTTTCTGGAGTATCTATTGCACCCAATGTCCCCCCAAAAAGGCGCCTCCAGCCACCGTAGTGTAAGTTTCGAGTGTGCCATTTTCGACTTGATTTTTTTGGATGTGCGCTCCTCATTTTCCTTGACCGTCCTCTGTTCTTTGTCCAAAATGGGGGCTGTTGCTGTCTCTTTCTCTCTCTCTCTCTCTCTCACTCTCTCTCGATTGCTCTCGCTTTCCGGAAGCCCATGGCTGCAGAAGCCCTTTAAACCGCTAGTTTGTCGAGAGAGCGCGAGGGAGCGGGAGAGAGAGAGCGAGAGAGAGAGAGAGAGCCAGGGCAAACGAGAAGATCTCAACATTTGCATAAAACATTTCAGGAGACTCTGTGCACTAACGGAAAGCGTTCCTCACCAAGCCCCCACACCCCACAAAAATAAATACAAAAATACGCTCATATCCAAAGCTTTTAATCCTATTTTGAAGAGTGTGCCGTGGCGCATGCAGAAAAGGGATGTAAATCCAAGCTAATCCAGCGATTTTCAGGAGCTCATCAAGAACAAGACGGTCACCGAGACGCTGATCGTCGAGTGCACCGATACGGCTAGTCAGATTCAGCATGTAAGTGGTATTGAAATAAAGAGGCTACGCTTAGGCTTAGGCTTTGGCTTAGTCCTCGGCTTAGGCTTAGGCTTAGGCTTTGCTTAGGCTTCTAAGCCCAGGGCATAGTACCCTATGATTTTAGGTGGTCCCCCTCATCCGTGAGAGTCAAGAAGCCCAAACGCCACATCAGAAGTTCCGCGCTCAATCCCGGCTGATTCGCCAGGCGCATCACCTCGTTGAGGTAATTGGTATCTATAGCAACAACAAGTTCTACGAGTTAAAAAAGTTCTTGAGCATTTTTCGAAGAATAACGTACTAATTTAATTTGAAGGTTAGGACAACGAGTTGAAGAGGTTTCAAATTGAAAGCGTCTTTCTGGAACTCTAAGGTTCTCCTAACATAAGTCCGACAAGCTCAACAAGTTGCGGACGATCTCGCGCAATGCCTAAAGACACTAAGTTTTATCTAAGTAGCACCTCAAAATTGACAAATTCAGAATTAGCCTGAGCATCTTCAGAGTCTCTGTAAAACCGCGTAATTCCAGCCAGCCACCCGCCTCACCGACGTCGCCCAACAGGCCGTGGTCCACGTCCCAGAACCCCATCTGGCCAACCACCTCCAGGCCTCCGCCACCCAGCTCCACACACAACTCGCCGAACTGCGCACCGCCATCAACAACGCCCAGCAGCTGAACTTTGCGCAGCAACTGCTCTACTCAGAGGAGCTGATCAAGGAGCTCGACGAGGAGCTGAAGGAGGTGCAACGCCGCGCCCACGCCGATACGCTCGAGGTCCCCAGGAATCTTACGCACGACGGCGCGAATGCGCAGTTGGTGAACGCGTGCCGGGAGCTCGGGTCGAACTTGGCGCAGTTGGTGTCGGCGGCGAGTATGAGGGATAGGCATCATACTGGGAGCAGTGCGGTTGCGGCCGCCCAGTCGTTGAGAGGCTTCACGGACTCGATACGGGATTCTGTGGCCACGAGGGGCCCCGAATTGCCGGTTGATCAATTTATCGTGTCCGCGCGGTCTGTAGTTGATCAATCGGGGAGGATCTTCGACAAGGCCAGGGAGGAAGCACCGCCACAGCAGTTGGCTGAGGTCGCCAAGCAGGTCTCGACGAGTCTGAGACAGGTGGGTATAGAGCGTCAGAGAGAGAGAGAGAGCGCGAACGCGAAAGAGAGTCATCAGGACAAAAATAGCGATCCTATATACCATTTTCCAGGTGATCGGCTGCCTACCCGACAAACAACACATCGACCGCGCCGTCCAACAAATTCGCCAAGTCGGAGCCTCGTCTGTCGTCCGCGAGCCGGACGTCCGTGTCGCCGCCTCGCGCCTCGTCGAGTCCGCCTCCTCACTTCTCGTTGCTGCCCGCAGACCGTCGCACAACGAGAGCGTGAACGTCTTCGTGCACTCGTACACCGACTTCCACACTGCCGTCATTGCAGCCATTCGGGTAGTTTTCCAATACGGAGCCTGAAACGGCACTTTTTAGGAACAACCCCACATGGAACAACGTGCCCTGACCATTGACCAGCTTGAAAACGCGCGCGAGGGCGCTGTCGATGTGCTCACTCGCGCCGCTGCCGCGTCTTCGAACAGTGACGCGGCCAACACGCAGATGCTCACACAGGCCACAAAGAACCTCACTGAAACGGTAAGTATTGTTTATCGCTAAGCTCAGGCTTAGGCTTACATAGCTTCATTTCCGGATCAACAATGCCACCCGATTTCCAGGTGAACACCCTGGTCGAGTCGGTCTCCAGCGAGCAGCCGTGGCAGCGTGAGTGTGACGCCGCCCTCCGCCAGATCCAGTCGACGATCCCCATCGCCGAGCAGGCCATCCTGCCCCTCAATGACGACTCCTACTTTGCCAGCCTCGAAAAGGTCACCGAACAGGCACGCCGTCTCGGCGAGGCAATGAACAGCCTTGCACGGAGCACGAAGCACGAGGACAAGCAGATGTTCAACCAATCCGTGCGCCAATCCGCAGATGCCGTCTGCTCCCTTGCCGAAGCCGCCGCCCAGTCGGCCTACCTCGTCGGGGTGGCCCACCCGCGCTCCGTTCGCGGCCAGGCCGCCCTCATCGACGGCCCCAAGGTGAACAGATCATCAACGCTCGTCAAGCAGGTCTGCGAGCGTATCGCCCAGGAGCGCTACACGCAGCCCGAGATCCTCAACGACGCCACCGTCGTCGCCAAGCACACCTCGCAACTGGCCCAGCTGTGCCGTACAGCCAGCGAACGCACCGCCAACGTCAACGTCAAGAAGCAGTTCATCAACTGTGCCCGAGAGGTGGCCAGCAAGACGGCCGAGCTGATTCAGAACGTCAAAGAGTTGGACAAGGCCCCCACCGCCCCAACGCAGCAGGCGTGCACAAGGTCTGCGGCCGAACTGCACCAATCTGTCGAGCAGCTCGAGGCGTATGTGCAGAACCCCGAGTTCGTCGCCAAGCCGGCTACGATAAGCCCGGAAGGGCGTGACGCGCAGGTGCCCATCCTTGGCTCGACACGTTCTACCCTCGAGACCAGCGCCCAAATGATCATCACCGCTAACCAGCTGGCCGCTTCTCCTCGAGACCAGATGATGTGGCAACAGTTGGCCGACAACTCTCGTGGCGTCTCCGACTCCATCAAGCGCCTCGTGACGGCCATCCGGGATGCTGCTCCTGGTCAACGGGAGTTGGACACCACCCTCAAACGCCTTGATGAAATGATCCGAGGTGTTGATCGTGCCATGATGGAGGTCCAGGTCAACCCCGGGGCCAAGACCACCGTCGAGAAGCGTGTGCAGCAACAGATCATGCACTACACCCAGAATCTGCACGACAAGGTGGAGCCCCTCAGGCAGGTAGCCATCAACAAGTCCGAAGAGTTGGGCCACCACGCCATGGAACATCTAGCCCTCACCCAACCGCTCGTCGACTCGGCCATCCAGGCCGCCACCGCCACCTCAAACTCCAACGACCAGATCAAGCTGTTCGATCAGTGCCGCACCGTTGTGGAAGCGGAAATGCAGATGATGTACGCGTGCAAGAACTCGGCCGGAAATCCGAAGGCCAAAGAGGCACATCAGAGCCTTGATGAGGCCAGTCAACAATACAGAGAGGCCCTCTCCGACATGAGAAACACCGTGAATGCCATCAGCTCCGAGCAGGGCGTCACGGAGGGTATGGTCGAGACCATCTCCCGCTCCATCGTCATCACCGATCACGTCGACTCGAGCTACGCCGCCGGCGGCACGTTCGCCGATGCTCAGACCGGAATGACGCGTCTTCTCGAAGAAATTCGGGCCACCGCTTCTGACATGCCCTACGCCGAGCCGGTCAACTTGGGCGCAATGTCGTTGAACATCAGCGAAAAGTTCCACCAGCTGGCCAAGGAATGTGCGAGGGCCCAGGCCCTCCTCCCCAACATCCCAGACCTCGCCACCAAGCTCAAGGTGTCCGTTCAGAAACTCGGAATGTCCTGTACGGAGGTGGTGATCAAGGCTGGGCAACGTCGAGCTCACCCCGCAGATCAGCGCACCAAGAAGGAACTGCATGAGCACAGCCAAGAGGTTGTCGAGCGAGTTCAGGAAGTGTTGGCGGTGCTGAACATGGAGCGGAAGGGAACCCAGGCCTGTATCAATGCCGCGAATACAGTTTCCGGAATTATTGGCGACTTGGACACGACCATCTTGTTTGCTACGTCCGGAAGCCTGAACGCCACGGACACGCTCAGCTTTGCGCAGCATCGCGATCAAATCCTGAAGACTGCGAAGGCACTCGTCGAGGACACGAAGGCACTTGTCGCAGGCGCCGCATCCAATCAAGAACAACTTGCTGTCGCCGCTCAAAATGCGGTGAGGACCATCGTCTCCCTGTCGGACGCCGTCAAGAACGGGGCCGTCGCGTTGAACAACACCAACTCGGAGACGCAGGTTCTTGCCCTACACGCTGTTCGTGACGTTGCCAGCGCCCTCTGCGCCCTCATCCAGGCGACCAAAAACGCAAACGGGTGCTCGCACGAGGACCCCGCAATGGGAGATCTCAAAGAAGCCGCTAAGACCATGGTCAGCAACGTGACCTCGTTGCTGAAGACCGTCAGGTCGGTGGAGAATGAGAATCAGCAAGGGACCCGGGCTCTCGAAGCAGCCATCGACGCGATTAACCAAGAGTTGAAGCAGTACGACAACAGCACAGAGGGCCCGAGCCAGGCCGCACATCCCGATGAGCTGAGGAGGGTTGGGGCCCATGTGACCCAGGCGACGACCAAGCTGGCGACAGCTGCTTCATCCCTCAATCAAGGGGATGTCATTGCCGCATCGAACATGGCGAGGACGGCCGTGTCGGGGTTGCTGCTCACAGCGAGGAGCACGGCGATGAATGCCGACTCGCCTGAAGTACGCTACAGGACTATGGACGCTGGAAGGGATGTGGCTGTTCAGGTGAGAAAACGAAGGGATAGACTAGCAGAGATTTTTTGGAAAGGCGGTAGCAGCGATCCTTTAAGAAATCTTTGTTCCATAAAAGGACCTTCTTAGGTTCGCGACCTGCTCGGCTGCTTGTACGCCATCGTCGAGAAGAAGGACCCGAACGCCCGGCAGGCGCTGCTCAACTCTGCACGCGGCGTCGCCAAGGCAGTCAAGGACTTGACGGGATGCGCCGAGTTGCTGAAGGTGAGAGAGAGAGACAGATAGAGAGAGAGAGGGAGAGAGAGAGAGGGAGAGAGAGAAAGCCAACCCTAAAAAGGCAACTATACCACTTCCAGACGTCCAGCTACTTCTGGGTCGTTGAGGTAATCGAAGAACCTGATAGCTTTTTTTATTCTTTTTCTTGGCCGTTCCCATAAATCAGGCAGAACATTGCAATTCCAGGAATGCAATTGCAATAGCTATTCGATGCCCAAGGTGCCGGAATTTCTTTTGGATTTTTGGCTTTTTTGGCTACCTGTACTCGCTGAACTCGTCGATTTTCAGGGTGACACCTGGCAGGGCCCTTCGGATCCGACGGCCATCGCCGAGAACGAACTGCTTGGCGCCGCCAGCGCCATCGAATCGGCGGCCGTCAAGTTGGCCGAGTTAAGGCCACGCCCACAGCCGGTAGGTTTTTTCAAGGGATAGTGACACCCCCCGTAAGCCCCTCCCACCGACCGTGCGCTGGCCGGAGATATGTCTGGTATTCTTGGGTTTTTCACATGGGTAACCCGCGAATCCGACCTATCCCCGGCCGGATGTGCAACAGCTCTGGTCATCTTCTCACTTCCGTGGCCTTTGGACACCTCTAGAATTTCGTCAAGTAGTTGCTCAAACATTTCTCCACTTTTCAGAAGGTCGACGACAACCTGACGTTCGACGAGCAGATCCTCGGCGCTGCCAAGTCGGTGATGAACGCCGTGCAGACGCTGGTCCGAGCGGCCGGGAATGCACAGCGCGAGCTCGTCGCCCAGGGAAGGACGAACGCGCAGACACCTTCGGGAGGCGAAGACTTCCAATGGTCCGAGGGGTTGATTACCGCCGCCAAGGTCAGTTTGGAGAATTAGAGTGGGAGAGAGAGGGAGAGAGACAAGATTTACCAAACTTGTTCAGGTCGTCGTCGCCGCAGTTCACCAACTCTGCGAATCAGCCAACGCTCTCGTTCAAGGTCAGGCCAGCGAGGAGAAGCTGATCTCGGCCGCCAAGCAGGTCAGTTTTCAGAAACAACTAGGGCAAACTTGCATGGACTGACGGCCTAGGTTCAAGCATCCATGACAATCTAGCAGAGACCATTTGAGTGGCACCAACCAAGTCCGAAATTCAGGTCGCCGCATCGACAGCGCGACTCTTGATGGCATGCAACGTGAAGGCGGATGGGGACAGCCAGGCGAGAAGCCGACTTCAGACCGCCGGTCATGCCGTCAAGACGGCGACCGAGAGGCTGGTAAACGCAGCGAGACATGCTGCGGCTGCTGAAGATGAACGTCACTTCGTCATCTCGGAGAAGCTTGTCTCTGGCATTGCGCAAGTGATGGACGCCCAAGAGGAGGTGAGGAATTCAGCTAGAGAGATGGAGAGAGAGAGAGAGAGAGAGAGAGAGAGAGCATGAATGATAGCCCGTGAGATCGACGGGAGATAGAGATAGAGAGAGTGAGCAATATAGGGATCGAGACCGAGAGAGCACCTCAGAGAGAAATAGCTCAAACGAACGCTAACAATTCTCCTTTTTCAGGTGCTTCGAAAGGAGCGCGAGCTCGAGGCGGCCCGTGTCAAGCTGGCCGAGATGAACAAGGCACGGTACAAGCACCAGCCATCCCCCGATGAGTAAACCAGAAACCAAAGCCGAATTTCCACTGATTTCCGTTCTATTGTGTGCATTTGTGCAGCTACGCAATCTCTACCCCCCGTCGTGCTCAACCCCCCCCGCAATTTTGAACCCTACTCTTTGCTCCCAACCATATCAGCGCCATAACAAATATTTATCCCCCTCCGTTATAGGTATAAATTTGGGCTTGCCTAGGTGTTGAGACCAAAGTCGAATTGTTAACCTGGTCAAGCCCAAGCCCCGCCCCCCGAACCAAGCCAAAGCCACGCCCCCAAATTGGAGCCCAATCTCTTGCGATATGCAAAATAAACGAGGGATGTTGAGACACTGTTTTTGCCTTTTTGTTGCACAAGCCTAAGCCTAAGCCACAGATGTCTTGTTTTGATTTTGAAAGTTTGTCCCTTAAAATGTGCCTTACCCAACGCCCCGTCAGCGACACCACGCAAGAGCCTATATTTATGTTTATATCATTGCAATAAAGTTTGGTGAAAATCAGCGTTTTCGCTTTTGTGACGCGAGAGGGAGAGAGAGAGAGACAGAGAGAGAGAGAGAGAGAGGGAGGGAGGGAGGGAGGCAGGGAGGGAGGGAGGGAGGGAGAGAGAGCGAAAGTGAGAGAGTGAGAGAGAGAAACAGAAATCTCACATTAATTTTCAGCAAAACCAGCCAATTCTGCAGCAAGGTGACAAGCCCATAAAAATTGTTCAGAAAAATTTTTTCAACCATTTATTCCATATTACTTATAATTTTCGGTATATAAATTGGTGATGGAGGGTCGTGATAGTTGAATTTCTTTGACTAAGCATCCCAATCCCAAACCGATGGGTTGTAGCCGTTGGCCGTCATCATCGAGTCGTACGCGGCCAAAGTGTCGATGCACGTGAACTTGGCTTCAGGCTGGAAGCAGTAAGTTTAGGCCTAGGCTGATGCTTAAGCTTAGCTTCAACGTGCTTACGCTTACGCTTAGGCTTAGGCTTAGGCTTAGGTCCGAAATCATGCCTAGGCTCCTTCTCTCTCAACCAGACCTACCGTAAAGCGAGCAGTATACTGCTCATCCATGGTAAACATATGAGCACGACATCCCAGCGTGCGGGTCAAATGGTATTTTCCATGGTCCTCGACGAGGATCAACATCCTGGAGCTGGCACGGGTCGGGCTGTTGATGTCGGTACCGGGTTGGTAGCAGCGGATCGAGCTGGAATTGGGGGCCTCTTCTCTCTCTCGCTCTCGCTCTCTCTCATACTTCTCCCTCTCTCACCCTCACTTTGCCTCTCGATTTCCAAAACCCACTATCCACTGGCCACGGCATACGGACTGTAGTGCCAGATGGTGTAATTCTGGAGGCATTCCGGGTTGGCTGGCACCAAGCCGGGCACCGAGTAGGGGACTGTCGCCAGGTCAGAAGTGTACTCGGCGATGTTCGATGGGCATGCCGACGTTGGGATCAGGTCGTGGCAGGTCAGGGCTAAAGGGTCCGGCTAAGAACATTAAAGCATTTCATCCACAGTTTTCCTAAAAGACTCACGCCGGTGAAGCGGCATCCATGAGCAAAAGATTCGGTCTGTTGCAGCATCGATTGGGAGACGGATGTTGTCTATTGTAACGGCAGTCCACTGCGTCTCCTCGCATAGCGACAGCCTCAACGGGATCACCGTGTTGTTCCGGATCAGGTATTGGTCAGCGCGGCAGCTGGAAATTGACGGATATGGAACGGAGGGCGAGATTTTCAAGGTAAACTCCAGAGCAGACCAAAAATCCCAAGCCCAAGCCTAAACCTACGCCTAATGCTACGTTCACTTACGTGTAACCAGAGTACGGAAATGCAGTCGCCAGATCGAGACGCGGGAAGTTCCACCTAAAACGTGGAAATTATGAAGCGAGACAGTGAGAGAGCACCAGCCATAGAGGGAAAACGAGAGAGCCCTACTCTGCTAACGTCTTCTGACAACCCGCGCGCAAGTTGTGGCTCTCCCCGATGCTGATCGGCTCCGAGGTGCCGTTTCTCGGTGAATACCACGCCATCGTGCTGAAGTCGGGGCAAGACGTCGAGTTTTGGATTATCGAAAAGCGCTGCGAGTCGCAGGTGGGCTGGCCTGAAGGGGGCTCGGTTTTAGCTTACAATTAGGCATAGTCTCAGACTTGGAGGCTCGAACTCATGACTTACGAAAAACTTCCACAATTTGTCTCCTCATCCCAGAGTAGCAGGCCACGCTGTCAACCCCAGGCACAAACTTGACGAAGACGCCCCACTCGGAGTCACCGACTATCGACTGGCCGTCGTCGTTGCAGTACAGCTCGCTGGAATTTTTTATAGTTTTGGAGGCGAAGAACCCACTAGGCGAAGTTATATCCACGAGTCCCGTTGCCCCAGGAGGGCCCGTAGATGACCATCATCGCGTCGGGGTCGGCGCAGTTGACAGACCAGCCGCCGTCAAAAGAGGCAATCACTCCGGGTCCGGTTTGACAGGTCCCGTTTAGACCGGCTAAGGGTAGAGTCGAGCCATCGGGACACTAGATTCAGATAGCGTGAAGCTAAGCCCGAAACTCAGCCAAATCCCAAGCCTAAGACTAAGCATACGCCTGAGCCTAAGCCTGTACCTACGCCTAAGTATAAGTCCGAAACTCACATCACTCATATACAGCATGCCGAGGTCGGTCACTCCACAGAAATCTAAAAGCCTTGGGACTTGAAAAACATGAACATACCGGAGTTGCGACGGACGCCATGACGACGTTCTCTCTGAAAATTGCCTTATTTTCTAAGTTGTATCCGAGATACCGTACCTTCAAGGTCGAGACAACGGCCACCAGCAGGGCCAACTTCAGCAGTGGTCCAACTTTGAGAAACATGCTAGAATCTACTAGGCTTAGGCTCATGCCTGGGGACTGGGCGATCAAGGATTTTTATGTCAAAGCTTTGAAAAGATGGAGGCCAGCTAGCCGAGAAGCTTTAGGAAATGTCCTCGCCTTATTCCAGGTTTTAGCTTTCTATTTTCAAAACGAAATTCGAGGTTCGCCACTTCGATAAGAGATTGTTGAACAAAAAATAGTTCACCAAATCGGCCGTTTTTTGCACGTTCCAATCGAATCGCGCTGCCAATTTGCCCCGCGCTGATCTGGCCAACGGTCGGCTCGTTTCTAAAAACCGCCCCGATCCCCTGAACCCTTTCGGGTGATCGGCTAATTTGGCATCCCGCTTCACTGCAGTTTTTTTGGTCGGAGTGAAACAAGCCTAAGCCTAGACAACTTGACTGACTTAGGCCTCAGCTTAGCTTGGGCTTAGGCTTAGGTTAGGCTTAGGCTTAGGCTTAGGCTTAGGCTTAGGCTTAGGCTTAGGCTTAGGCTTAGGCTTAGGCTTAGGCTTAGGCTTAGGCTTAGGCTTAGGCTTAGGCTTAGGCTTAGGCTTGGGCTTAGGCTTAGGCTTAGGCCGAGGCTGAGGCTTAGGCTTCGCTTAGGCTTAGGCTTGGCTTAGGCTTAGGCTTAGGCTTATGCTTAGACTCAAGCTTAGGCTTGGCTTGGTCTTGGCTTGGTCTTAGGCCTGGGCTTAGGCTTCGTCTTGGCTTACCCAGGCACGTCTTAAGGACGTTGGGCTGTATGTCATTTCCATCTATGCATAATTTATTCCACATAATAAGGCACAATTGTTGACTAGAAACTACCGCATTTAAGCGTTCCAGTCCCAGGTGGAGGGATCGTAGCCGTTGGCCGTCATCATGGCGTCGTACGCGGTCAGCGAGTCGACGCACGTGAACCTGGCTTCGGGCTGAAAAGTGAAGTTTCAGGCGTAAGCTTTCAAAAAATTCGACTGCCTTTATAATTATGAACACTAGTGTAGGTTAAAATCTGACATGTTGCCTAACATACCGAGATGCCGACGGTGTACTGCTCGTCCATGGTGAATTTGTTCGGTCCACATCCGAGGGTGCGTGTCAGGTGATACTTTCCCTGATCTTCGACGAGGATCAACATGCGCGAGCTGGCGCGGGTCGGGCTGTTGAGGTCAGTGCCGGGTTGGTAGCAGCGGATCAGGCTGGAAATGTCGATTTTTGACCGTATGAAATAGCCCGGCGTTTCGGCGCAAATTCCCGAGGGCCATGCTATTTGGGTTTTCGCTTGTCGACATTTTGACTCGTGACTTACAAAGCTTGTGGTGGGTCCGCAACGCCGTTGTTGACATCGTAAGTCCAGATGGTGTAATTCTGAAGGCAGTCCGGGCTGGTGGGGACGAGGCCGGGCAACGAGTACGGGATTCTCATAAGATCCGAGGTGTACTCAGTGACGTTGGAAGGGCACGCGGCGGTGGGAATGACGTCGTGGCAGGTTATCGCTGGAAAAAAATCATACAGTTCGCCTCAGGAATAATACCGAAAGCCAAAATCCTGACAAAATCTCGACGCTGATATGAATTTCACGTTCTTTTTAAACAGCTGTTTTGCGTGCCGGGATTTCGGCCTGTCGGGATTTTTGCGTTTTCTCGGAAGACTACCTCCAATTTAGAACTTACGCTTTCTGACTATCTCGCTGGGCAATGTGCAGAAGATGGAATCGGTGGTGGCGTTGATGGTGAACCGGATGTTGTCGTTCGTCACAGCGGTCCAATGGGTCGACTCGCAGAGGATGAGGCGGAGCGGGATCACGTGGTTGTCGCGAATCAGGAACGTGCCTCCGGGAGCACAGCTGAAATGTCAGTATTCCAAAGCCAAAGCGTGAGCTTAAAATCCTATTAAAAGGGTTAAGAAGTGCCGGAGCAACGCTGAAACACATTTTCTGGTGTTATCTGCCCCTTTAAAATCAAAGCTTTACTTACAAGTAGCTGGCATACGGGAAAGCGGTGATGGTCTGGCGCGGGTAGTAGTAGCTGAAAGTATTTAAAGACGTCAACAACAATTAGTTACGAGGTCAAGTAGTTCGTCTGGCAGGACGTTTGCAGCCTTGCTGCTTCCGTCGCGTTGATAGCTACCGTGGTGGCGGTCTTCGGGTAGTACCAGTCCATCGTGCTGAAGTCGGGGCACGTTGTCCAGTTCTGCATCAGGGAAAAACGGCTGGCGTCGCAAGTAGACTGGTCTGGAAAAGAAGAGGAGGCTTAGGCTTAGGCTTAGACTTAGGCATAGGCATGAGCTTAGGCTTAGGCTTAGAAACCCACGGAATAGAGCCTCGTCCTGGGCGGCAGCGCTCGTGTAGCAGGCGACATGGTCCCGTCCGGGCACAAACTTGGTGGTGATCCTCCAGTTGTCAACGGTGGCCGCAATGGAGGTTCCATCGTCGTTGCAGTAGAGGTAGCTGCAAACATCATTATTTTTCGTGCTGGCAATTTGAAAAAATTTACAGGGTGGCCAGAAAAAAAAGTGCCTGGTTTGCACTGAAATATCTCGCTAGGGGAAACGAATCAGACCATCGTTACCTTGCCAGAATGCTTAAATATGCTGGGTATGAAGAATAAACACAAGTTGTTTTTTACGATTTTTGACGACTCGATACTCGTTAAGAATTTTTGAACATTTTTAAAAAAGTTGAAAACTTTGAAGCGATAAAGTCTGCAACTTTTGATGAGTTAAGGGGATATGAAGGGTATCAAAATGAAGCTCTCGGAATGCGCTATTAAATCAGTGGTAAAGATTATCGATCGGTTTAACTAACCGTCAATAGGAGCCTTCGGAAAATCGGCACTTTTCCAGAAGGGGCGATTCCCCGCAGACCACAAAAAGCCCATTGTTGCCATAACCTTTTGTACTCGTTACATGTAATCCTGGTTGCCAAAGATAACGATGTTATAATTTTAACTATAGGAGCCTAGAAGTTACAAATTCGGTCGAATTGGCAAAGTGCCAAAAGTTTTTTGATCGCGATTTGAAAATTTTTGATGCCTAAAGTTAGTAGTTATATATCTATTGCTAATTGCAAAATATCAGAAGGATCGGATGGTAAAGTAATTTTATCTGGAATTATTTCCCCAAAAAGTACGGATTTTCCGAACGCTGCTATTAACGGTTAGTTAAACCGATCGAAATTCTTTACCGCTCGTTTGATAGCGCATTCCGAGAGCTTCATTTTGATACCCTACACTTTACTATAACTCTTCAAAAGTTGCATACTTTATCGCTTCAAAGTTTTCTATTTTTTCAAAAATGTTCAAAAATTCTTAACGAGTAGTGGGTCGTCAAAAATCGTAAAAAACAACTTGTGTTTATTCTTCATACCCAGCATATTTAAGCATTCTGGCAAGGTAACGATGGTCTGATTCGTTTCCCCTAGCGAGATATTTCAGTGCAAACCAGGCACTTTTTTTTCTGGCCACCCTGTAGAGGGTTCTGAACCGCCGAACACCTACTCCGCGTAGGTGTATCCATTCGTGCTGTTGCTCCACGACGGCCCGTAGATGACCAATCGTGAGTCGGGCGCCGTGCAGGCGATTGACCAGTTGTCATCCTCAGACGCGAGGAGATCAGTTCCGGTCTGGCAGGTGCCGGTGAGACCGGGAAGGGGAAGGGACGATGCGTTTGGGCACTGAAGTTTTTGCGTGAACTCGAACTTCAATAATGCAATGATACAGTAAACAGAAAGTCGACTTAAGCTTGACCTACGCCTAAGCCTAAGCCTAAGCGGATCATTGTAGTTTCTGGTGGCAAAACTCACATCATCCATCAACAGCGTGTTGAGGTCGGCCACGCCGCAGAAGGCTAAAAAAGCTTTAATCAAAGCCGCGCTAACTTACTGCTGGTGTCGCGGCGCTGGCGTTGAGCTGGTCCCCGCTGTAATATTTTTTTTTACTTTTTCGTTAATATAACCTATATTTAGTCTTCTAAAATCTGCCGGGAATACCGTACCTTGAAAGCCGAAGCAGCGACCACCAGCAGGGCCAACTTCAGCAGTAATCCCATGTTGAGTGTCATTCTGGAAATGCTACTTTGAATGTTGGCAATGGGGACTTTGAGTGGTTGCGCTGAAATTTCTTCCAAATCGTCAAAAGTTTTCAGGGGAGCGGTCAGACGGATTCCATTTTATGAGACAACCCCGTCACCCCGAAAAACGCCAAAAATCACCCTGGGCAAATACAGAATTGGTCTGGGAAAGGCCGGGGCAGAGATTTGCCCAGTCGGCTCGAAAACGCAGAGCTGAAAGTTTTGGTGGATCATTGGGTCATTGGATTTGAGGTATTTTGGATGAACACCGAGTAGGTATGCTAGCAGAGGTTCTTTAGGAAATGGCCGTCTAGCAGAGGATCTTTAGGAAAAGGCAGGCTAGCTGATATCCTGTCAGAAATCATTTTTAAGTCACCAACAAACCTACGTTCCAAAACTCAGTGCCTACGTAGTATCCGAATCGGTGGACCCCGAATACACCCCCAGAAGCCTTAAACTCCCCCTTATATACACCCAACTCCAAATAGACCTACACCAGCACCCCCCAAAAAAAGATTAATATAACTCAAAAATCGGGCTCTTACCCCCCATTCAAACCATTCACTATTTATATGCTTCGAATTGTGTGAATGTCGTCGAAATGGCGGGGGCCCAGGGCGATAGGCCACTTTTTGCCCGGGCGATTCGACGCGGTAGGGGGAGAGGGCCATTTTATCGGCGTTCCCTAAAAAACGCCCTGAACCCGCCGGGGCCCTCCACTTTTCAATAGATGAAAGCACAAAAATTGAGGCGCGGAATTTGATCCCATGACTTTGTGGGGGTCTTGCGTGTCGATATTTGGTGTTGGAAAACTTTGGTCAAACCGAGGAATCCCCGATCGAGACAAAATATCTCCAGGAAAAAGTTAGAAACATGCATTGCATCGATTCAAGAAGTCGAAATCGGACCTAGCAGTAGGCTTAGGCTTAACGCTTCAGGCTTAGGCTAGATTAGGTATAGGCATAGGCTTTGACTTAGGCTTAGGCTTAGGCTGGATTCGGCATAGGCATACGCTTAGGCTTCCGCTTAGCTTTTAGGCTTATGCGCATACTTAGGTTTCGCTTAATTTTCGGCTTTTCCGCAAGGTACACCATTCCCGTTGTGTGCTTTGGACCGTATTCCACGGTCCCTCTCAAATTGAACCCGAACAATGTGTCGTCTTGTCTCCAGAACCTGAGGCTTATCAGCCGATTCGTGTGTTTTTTTTGTGCCCTTCGCATCGCGGTGGGTGGGCCGATTCTGGTCAATTTTACGAGGCCCACCATATCAATTTCATGCGACAAAAAGCGTGGTTCAGGTGGCGCGGGCGAAATGTGCGAACGGTTCTCGCGGAAAATGTGAACTGCGCTCTGAACCACGACGCGAAACTGATAGCGCCGGGTGGATGGAATAATGGCTCCTTGATAGTTTTAGAGTTTAGAGTTTGAGCGGGAGCTGGGAGCTCTGAAGAACACTGCCGCGATGCGAACACTGCCGCGAAGCAAACGCTGCCCGCCTGCTCTCTCTTTCTCTTCACTTCCCAATCCTGGCTTTTCAAATATAATATAAACTTTTTTGTTTTGCCGCGAAGCGGTTTTTCAACCCTGGCCCCGTCCAGGACCTGTGAAAGTCCTTAATTTGCATGTTTCTTCCTGAATTCTAGCAAGAAAAAAATTCTTCCCTTTATATAGGCTCTTCCTACTTCCGGCGTATGCTAATTTCCCCTAACAAACAGGGTTTTATAAAAACCTATTTTTAATAGCGAAAACCGCAATTTTTCAAAATTTTGCTGTGCGTGCAGTCGATTCCGGACCATTCTAAACCTATTGTCGTTTCTTCCCTATCCAAAAAACCCTTCCCCGAGGCTGTAGGAGCGGAACATCCTAACGGAAGTGCATGCAAATATACACACACACACACACACACAAACACTATTTTTTTATATACCAGGGTTGAAAAACCGCTTCGCGGCTTTTCAACCCTGGCCCCGCCTAGATCTATGAAAGTATTGACTTTGCATAATTCTTGCCACAAACCCGATCACCAAAATATGAAAAACACGCTCTCCTTTCCCTTTTATAAGCTACCTCTACTTCCGGCGTATGGTAATTTCTGCCTAACAAAGAGGATCCCGAAAAATTTTACAAAAACTTAATTTTAATAGCGAAAATAGCAATTTTCAAAAATTTTATGTGTGTGCAGTCAATTCCGGCCCCTTCTTTACCTAGTGACGTTTCTTCCCTATCGAAAAAATGCTTCCCTGACCCTGTAGGTGCGGAACATCCAAACGGAAGTGTATGCAAATATACACACACACACACACACAGACACTATTTTTGTATATAAAAACCAGCCGATTACAGCCGCTTCGCGACTGCAATCGGCTGGACTTCGGGCCACCCTCCATATTCTACACCACCACATTTAATCCCTACCTTACGCTGATGCCTTCATGGCAATAACTACACTGATGGCTTCAGATACCTCCTCTAGCCAACCCCCCCACAAAAACATAGCTACCTTCCCGATGGCTTCAGATACCCCTCCGGGTCGAAATTCCGTTAAAAATCTACCAAAATACCTCCCTGATGGCTTCAGATACCCCCCATGGCTGAAATCCCCTTCAAAAACTACCTAAATCCCTTCCCGATGGCTTCAGATACCCCCCATGGCTGAAATCCCTTCAAAAACTACCTAAATACCTTCCTGATGGCTTCAGATACCCCCCATGGCTGAAATCCCTTCAAAAACTACCTAAATCCCTTCCCGATGGCTTCAGATACCCCCCATGGCTGAAATCCCTTCAAAAACTACCTAAATACCTTCCTGATGGCTTCAGATACCCCCCATGGCGGAAATCCCCTTCAAAAACTACCTAAATACCTTCCTGATGGCTTCAGATACCCCCCATGGCTGAAATCCCCTTCAAAAACTACCTAAATACCTTCCTGATGGCTTCAGATACCCCCATGGCTGAAATCCCCTTCAAAAACTACCTAAATACCTTCCTGATGGCTTCAGATACCCCCCATGGCTGAAATCCCCTTCAAAAACTACTTAGATACCTCCCTGATGGCTTCAGATACCCCCATGGCTGAAATCCCCTTCAAAAACTACCTAAATACCTCCCTGATGGCTTCAGATACCCCCCATGGCTGAAATCCCCTTCAAAAACTACTTAGATACCTCCCTGATGGCTTCAGATACCCCCCATGGCTGAAATCCCTTCAAAAACTACCTAAATCCCTTCCCGATGGCTTCAGATACCCCCATGGCTGAAATCCCCTTCAAAAACTACCTAAATACCTTCCTGATGGCTTCAGATACCCCCATGGCTGAAATCCCCTTCAAAAACTACCTAAATACCTCCCTGATGGCTTCAGATACCCCCCATGGCTGAAATCCCCTTCAAAAACTACTTAGATACCTCCCTGATGGCTTCAGATACCCCCCATGGCTGAAATCCCCTTCAAAAACTACCTAAATACCTTCCTGATGGCTTCAGATACCCCCCATGGCTGAAATCCCCTTCAAAAACTACCTAAATACCTTCCTGATGGCTTCAGATACCTCCCCTAGCCGAAATCCCCTTCAAAAACTACCTAAATACCTTCCCGATGGCTTCAGATACCCCCCGTGGCTGAAATCCCCTTCAAAAACTACCTAAATACCTTCCCGATGGCTACAGATACCCCCCGTGGCTGAAATCCCCTCCAAAAACTACCTAAATACCTTCCCGATGGCTACAGATACCCCCCGTGGCTGAAATCCCCTTCAAAAACGACCTAAATACCTTCCCGATGGCTTAAGATACCTCCCCTAGCCGAAATCCCCTTCAAAAACTACCTAAATACCTTCCCGATGGTTTAAGATACCCCCCGTGGCTGAAATCCCCTCCAAAAACTACCTAAATACCTTCCCGATGGCTTCAGATACCCCCCGTGGCTGAAATCCCCTTCAAAAACTACCTAAATACCTTCCCGATGGCTACAGATACCCCCCGTGGCTGAAATCCCCTCCAAAAACTACCTAAATACCTTCCCGATGGCTACAGATACCCCCCGTGGCTGAAATCCCCTTCAAAAACGACCTAAATACCTTCCCGATGGCTTAAGATACCTCCCCTAGCCGAAATCCCCTTCATATCACTTTCAGGATTCTTGAAATTCCGGAAAAACTACCTAAATACCTTCCCGATGGTTTAAGATACCTCCCCTAGCCGAAATCCCCTTCAAAAACTACCTAAATACCTTCCCGATGGTTTAAGATACCTCCCCTAGCCGAAATCCCCTTCAAAAACTACCTAAATACCTTCCCGATGGCTTCAGATACCCCCCATGGCTGAAATCCCTTCAAAAACTACCTAAATACCTTCCTGATGGCTTCAGATACCCCCCATGGCTGAAATCCCTTCAAAAACTACCTAAATACCTTCCTGATGGCTTCAGATACCCCCATGGCTGAAATCCCCTTCAAAAACTACCTAAATACCTTCCCGATGGCTTCAGATACCCCCCATGGCTGAAATCCCCTTCAAAAACTACCTAAATACCTTCCTGATGGCTTCGGATACCCCCCATGGCTGAAATCCCCTTCAAAAACTACCTAAATACCTTCCTGATGGCTTCAGATACCCCCCCATGGCTGAAATCCCCTTCAAAAACTACCTAAATACCTTCCTGATGGCTTCAGATACCCCCATGGCTGAAATCCCCTTCAAAAACTACCTAAATACCTTCCTGATGGCTTCAGATACCCCCCCATGGCTGAAATCCCCTTCAAAAACTACCTAAATACCTTCCTGATGGCTTCAGATACCCCCCCATGGCTGAAATCCCTTCAAAAACTACCTAAATACCTTCCTGATGGCTTCAGATACCCCCATGGCTGAAATCCCCTTCAAAAACTACCTAAATACCTTCCTGATGGCTTCAGATACCCCCCCATGGCTGAAATCCCCTTCAAAAACTACCTAAATACCTTCCTGATGGCTTCAGATA